GTTGATTTAGCTAAAATGTAACCGAATGGACTCTTAATGAGATTGAGACCAAGCCACTATTTTTCAGAACAGGAACAACCAAATCTAAAACAAAACACAAAGTTCAAACTGGGACTAACCTTAGAATCTTATCTCACACCACCTTTCATTTCAGACAAGAGAAACAAAGGTGAGCTCTCAAGCAGAGACAAACTTTCTCCCACTGAGGAACAGAGAAACAAAACCAACAATTAATGAAAAGAACAAGACTATCAGACAGCACACAAAATCCACAAACCAGAGCCAAAAGAGTACTCTAACCGAATCCCACACCGGGGAAACGCGGACTTTTCATTGAGTGTTGCCAACCGCTGAGGGTGGCAGGGCAGGAGCTCCCGGTGGTGCACACAACTGACTAATCCAGTTTGGCAGTTTGGAGTCTGTCAACCCCCCAGAAAAACCAGTTTACCTGATATTTGTTGAGGAAAAGACCAGGTTAAGTCCATAGACCACCAGATGGCCAAAGGCCATAAGCCAGATGGGCTTTCTAAGCACAAATCACAATCCTTACTGAAAAGCGAAGGTGATCAGAGATGCCAAGAGTTGACGAAGGAGAATCCCCCAGGGAAATCACTTGGCAGCTGCTAGGGAGTCTCCGAATTTGTCCCCCAGGGCCCCCGAGTCTAAGCAACCAATGGGACTCCCTGTCAAATACTCAGACTTATCAAAGAGACCCAAAGTCTATTCCCCCAGAGTCTCCAGAACTGAAACCAGAGGGCAGCTGAATCCAGGGCTTGTGCTGCCTGTGGCTGATCAGCCAAAAAGCACAGTCAAGGTTTGGATTATAATTGTGCTTTTATTAATATCAGAGAACAGCAGTCTGAGAAGGTGGCAGGTTAAAACCCTAACATCCACCTTCCCCTGAGCTTTCGGAAGCAAGTTTCTACGGGGGGAAACATTTGGGAGGGGGGATTCCTAGGAGGGGCGCAGACCTACACTTTCTCTTGGGAGGGGGAGAAGACAGGGAGTCTCTCAGCTTCTTCCTGAGCTGGCCTCCTTTGTTGCAGTGTTTGCTTTCTGTTTGCATTAACCTTCTCTTCCCTAGACACCTGTGGTTTATGGTCAGAGAGGTTGTGTGTTCTCTGGTCAGGGAGGAAAAGTACAAGCCATTTGCTCTCAAGTGTCCTTGATCAGGAAAGATAATGTCTTGCAGTTTATTAGCTGGCTGTAAATTCTTCACACTGCTTGGCCTTGTTTAATTTTTTTGTTTCAGTTTCCTTATTCCACTTGCCCAGGAATTTTCCTAGCTACTTATTATCCTGTTTCAGGAGGAGACACAAGGGTTTGGTTATAGGAAATCCTTTGGTGATAGATTAGGGAGGTGAGAGAAAGCAAAGCAAAGAAATCTCTGGGATTGGATAAAAAGTAAAATGGAGAGACACATACTTCTTTTACACTGGCAGGTATACAATAGTAAACAGTGAAAATTTACAGTACTGAGAGATGGTATGGGGCAGAGCAAGATACCAAGGAAGGGCTCCAGAGACCTCCGCTCTGGTGGAAGCTTATGCCCCAGGGGTCTGGATGAAAGAGAATTTTCTTGATATTCCAAAGGTAAATTATCTTAGATTCAAAAAGACAACAAACAGGCTACTAACAATCAACCTCCTTAGGGAAAGATATCTGCATAAGACCTGACTACCTGCAGTGAACTGCTTTGAGTTAAAAAGTTTTAATTTCACACCATCTTTTGTGGTTGCTTTAGGTATCTATGTTTGTAAGATGCCACACAGGCCTCCCCTGAGCTTGTCAGGTTAACATGTGGTCTCATTACTTCCACAGGCTTTTAAGTTTTTCTATTAAATTAAAAATAGTCATAGATGTCATATGTGCATCCACTGAGGGTTGGTGGGGGAGACCAAAGAGGAAAACAGATCTCCACTTGCCCATCCACATCCATTTTCTGCTATACAAGCTGCCAGGTAACTGGTAAGACTGAGATGGAACATTCAATCAGGATAATTTGAGGGACATTGAATACAGGGCCTTCTTCCATCAGGTGGGCAGGATGTAGAGAAATCCCAGGCGATAGAATAACACCCCAAAGTTGTTAAGAGCAGAACCTAACCTGTACCCTGTGGCCCATGTGGACGGCATCACCCACACCCCTGTGCGCTGATCCTTCTGGTGGTTCGGCCACGGAAAGTGGAAGTCGGGAGGAGGGAGACGTGAGAGTGCACCCTCCCTCTGCTGGGCACAGTTCGGGCAGCAGCAGGGTAAAGACCTCAGCTCCCATTAGGCGGCTGTCGTCCTTGGCTGCAGCCCTTGCCGGCTGCCATAGTGACATGGTTCATGCCTCTGGTCCCTACGTCGGAGGGGCACAGCCTCCCGGTGTTAGTGGTTTCCTGGTGTGTCAACAGCCCCTGTGGCCACCATACCTTCCCACATTTCTGTAAATGGGCCCTTCCCTAATCTTCCTTCACTTAAAAACATTGGGACTGCCCTCTGTTTTCCTCCAGGGTCTCAGGGGACACAGATGCACAAAAGCATGTGTAAGCCTCTGCGTGCCCAGGATGGGTGGGGTCTGTGTACAGTGGCGGAATCTTATGGAAACGCTCAGTCCTCTCCACATACCATCTTTCTCCGACAAGGGAACTCAGAGTAGCAACAGTTCCGCACTCCTTCAAGTGTTCAGAACTGGCAGGCGTGTCACTCAAGATCCATGGGCATCGCTTGGTGGATGAGGAGGTTAAACTGCATATACAGCCTCTGTACCTACTTCAGTCTTTAGATTCCTATTCTCATATTGTTGGCAGTTTTTTCTAACACCAAGGCAGTGGGTGTCTTATTTTGGGTTTCCCCAAAAATAGAAACAACCTACGGATTTGGATATTGTGAGAGAATAGGAAAGTGACACATGGAGAGAGGAGAGCCAGTAAAGTACGTGTGCGTGAATGGGCTCCCTCTCTCTGCTGAGGCGTTTGTTGGTCTGTCTTGCACACAGCTGTGCTCATCACCCCTGAGTGCCCAGTTATCTCTGTTCCTCCCAGACCATCAAGTGCAACCTTTTTTTCTCCACGCAGACACCCTTAAACACTTGCTCAATTGAACTGCACGTGATTAGTTCCTTGCCAATTCCAGGAACTAAACCTGGGTTGGAAGTTGATTGAGCTCCAGGTAGCTGCACCTAAAGGGGACTTTGGATCTTTAAACATATCAATGAACCATACAGTGCATTTATTCTTGAGGAAGGACAACTTGCCTACAACAAACACTGGGGAAGAGGAGCAAGAGACAGTCTCTGGCTAAGCAAAGTGAGTATACTTAATCTCATGCTTTCTGTGGGAAGCTCAGGGTTGCAGATAAGGTTTTTCTGCCAAATGAGACTTATGATGCCCCTGGGAGTGGGGTGGAGCCCATGGCAGAGTTGATTGTACTAGCTTTTGGGAGTCTGCTCCAACAAAAAGGAGAGGGAAAGAACTGCTGGTTGGACATGTTGCTTGCAGCCTTGTGACACCTCAACCTGGAACCCCAGCCCTGCCATGCCATACTTCTGACCTACGCCAGGATGAGCTCGTGAACGAATTGTCTTAAGTTGCTACATTTATGATGATTTGTAATACAATTGGTTATCTTCAATGAAAGATCATGAAGATTTTGCAGCCAGAGAGCTTGTGCAAAATTTCTACTCTTAAGACCCTAAATTGGAAATACTGAAACTTCTTTATGTTTTGTTTACCTTATGTGTAAAACGAGAATAGGGTTTTGCCTCCCTCATGGAGTTATTATGATAATGAGACAATATGTGTATAAAGATCTGTGAGAGAAGCTTATAAACAAACTATAGTTAAAACAACATGAGAGGAAGTTACCACGTACTCAGCGGTAGCTGCTATAATTATAATTAATAAAGTCTTGTCACTGTTGTTTAGGACCTTAGAACCTTCTAGAGGAGACAGCCATGGGGATAAAGTGTTTCAGTAAATATGTGTTTATAAGTTTCTTGTATTCAGGAGAAAGTGCAAGAAGTGTCTGAAGACTAGGGAAATACATTCTCAATCCCACCTGATACAATGCCTCAAAGGTTGCAGAGGTCTCAGATGGGAGATTCAGGTCTGCGTATTAAGCAGTCTAGAGTGTTCTTACTGCGGAGGACAAGGCCAACATAGTTAAGCACCAGAGTTGCGAACTTCTTGAGTAATTCTGAGGATTTACCGTACCATCCTGTCTTCAAATCTATTTTTGTTATGCTACCCATATGGGATTGTAGGAGTCATTACCTTTACCCAAATTTTATTAAAAAGTTGCTTCCAGGTATGATACTTTAATTCACTTCCATTTTCTCTCTAAACTTTATGCATGAAACATGAGGGTTCTGTATCCATATGCAATGTTTACTTAAATAAGCAAAGTAAATTTAACTTAATTTCTGTCACTAAAGAAAGAAAAATGAAAGAAAGGAAAGAAAATAGTACAACCAGATCAAAATTCACAATTGACCTGAATATACTGTGCATTGGCAATGGGCTTCCTTGGAGGATAATGACTCCATTGAACAAGTTTTTCTGCGACCGGGACTTCGGGGAAATCATGGCCACGGGACCCGCCTGTTTCCTTCTTCAGGCGTCGATAGAATGGACTCAGTGTTCTCCAGGAGACTCTCCGCCCAGCCCTGCGCCTCTGAAATACCCGTACACGCAGAGCGCCATGCTAAGCATGGTGAGAGATACAAGAAGGAAAAAGCCACCGCCCTTGCCCTCTGTGGTGCTGATATTCCTTGGCCCGTAGTTGTCTCACCTATATAACTGGGCAGGTGTGAGGATTCAAGGAGATGTATTTGTGAAGCACTGCGTGTGAAAGTGCCCTCTAACTGCCACGTAATATCTCTAAGGAAAACTGAATGAACAAACTCATAGGGGTTTGTGATGCTCAAACAAGCCAATGAAAGCAAAAGTTCTCTTTCAATGTAATCATTAGTGCATGTATGAAGGATGATAGTATTGCCTTTGTTTTTCAGCAGCATGAATTCGATGACTTCAGCAGGCCCCAAGGCCAGTTCTGTGTTTGTGGCGGCACCCCCCAGCACACACGCTGCGATCCCAGGGAGCATGTCCCAGGTGCCCCTATATCCACACAGCCAGCCCCAAGTCCACCAAATTCCTGGGAGCCAACCTGGCTTACAGCCGCCTGTGTATGTCCTACCAGCCCAAACAACCTTGAAAGAGGGCAAAGTCTTAGGGGTAAGTGAGCTTTCACCGTGCAGGCTGGGACCACATGGCTGGAGTCAGGGGTGGTGGGAGGGTTGGAAATACAGAAACTCCAAATCCACAAGTGGGGCGGGGGCTGACCCAGCCTTGCCAAACTCAGGTCTGGTAAGAAGCTCAGCTGTGGAGCATCACCAGGGCCTCCGTGTCGGGCCTTGTGTTTTCTTACTTAAGCTTTATATGAACGAGAAAGAAAAGCAACAAAGAAGCAGGAAACTGGAAGGTTTTACCTGTTGCCAGAATCCATGTTGATCCTCTGGCCTCAGGGAGAAAGAGGGTACAGCAGGTGAGCCGCAAGGTGCAGCCTAAAGCCAGTGTGTTTGCATGGAATCTTTGCCCAATGGCAATAAGATAAGGGATCATTTTGATTCTCTCCCTAAAGGCTATTGTGAGGATGGGGGAAGAGGCCCATTTCACGGCATAGCTCAATAATGACACGTATGCCTTCCGATCCATGCTGCAGGGGTTCAAATTCTGTCTCCACCTCCATTGACTGCTCATGGAATGTGAATCCATAAAACCTGTATGGAAGGCTATCTGTATCTTCCAAGTTTTAAAATACCCCATAATTCCATTTCTCAAACTTTATCTTTAAACATGCTTGTGCACATGAGAAATAAGACATAATCGAGGTTATTTATTGCAGCCATGGTTTGTGAGAGGAAAAGAATAGACACAAACAAAATATCCATGCTGCTTAAATAAATGTATTGTACATACAAAGAATGAAAAGTTTTAGAGCTAGAAAAATAAAACTTCTTGTGTAATTATATAGACATGACTGCAAACTATTTCATTAATGGGAAAGTATTAGAGGCAGTCATTGCATATAATTTGCTACCATTTGTACAAACTTAAGGAAGTAATATATTTGGATTCATTGCAACGTTTGTAGTACATGCGCGCGCGCACACACACATATACATATATAAATGTATATATACAAGGGAGGACTCAGAAAAAATGGAATTATCTTCTGGAGAGTATGTCTCTAGAAGTACAGGCTGCCCCCTTTAGTGAGTGTTCTGGGATCTCAACTCTATCACTGTACCAGCTGGCATTGTTGTGAGAGGCTGTGTTTGGCCTCAGAGAATTTTTTTTGAAGACTCCCTTAACATGTATGCCCATTTCGTGATGGGCATGTTATGAACACATCTACTTATACTGCTGAGTGTTCAGTAGATTTTGACCAAAAACAGCATGACCCCCACGCCCCACACTCCTTATTCACCTGATCTCATCTTGAGCAACGTTTTGGGTTTCTCCTGATGAAAAATATCCTCAAAGGGAAATATTTTGCCTATGTGGAAGGAGGTTTCAAAAAAAAAAGTCTAAAGCAATAAAAGGCGTGAAAATCAACGACTTCAAAAACTGTTTTGAGCAGTGGAAATAAGTGTTTCAGTATGCATGTTGCATCAAATGGAGATTACTGGGAAGGTAACTGAAGTTTAAACATATAAGGATAAATACACATATCTTTATAAAAAAAAATTTAGGTTTTTTTGTATCCCCCATTGTACGTTTTGGAAGAATATATACTGCTTGGCCAAAAAGTCTGTTTGTTTTCTTCCCTAAAATAAAAGACACCTTTGTCATTTTCACCAATAACTTTATTGATTTGGATACTTTGAGTCCGTTGGCTATCTGCCACATGGTATAATACTGATTGCTCTCAATTTGAGTCTCAATTTGATCGCTATCAATTTCTACTTCTCTACCTTACTGTGGAGCATTGTCCAGTGAGAAATCTCCAGCACAAAACATCACAGACCACTTTTGGCATGTTTGACCAGTCACAACACATTCTCCATACATTACACAAATGTTTTTTTCCTTTCAGGTCTGTTTTTACCTTAATTGATGCTTATATTCCTCCATCTTCAATATTAAAACGGCTACACAAAAATTCACAGTTTTTGATAATTTTTTAAAAAATGCATGCTGATATGACAGCGGTCACAATACAATCTAAAAAAAATTGTTTCGAATGAACTTAAGTGAAACTAAGTGCTGCTAGAGCCATCTTACAGAAAAAACAAAAGAGACTTTTTGGCCAAGACATTAGTAGTTGTTTTCTAGAGCTGCCATAACAAAATACTACAATTGCATCAGCTTAGAACAATAGAAATTTACTGTCTCACAGCCTGGGGTCCAGAACGTGTAATCCATGTACCCCTGGCCATGCTCCCTCTGAAGGCTCCAAGGGAGGGGACCTGTTCCAGGCCTGCCTCGTAGCTTCTGGTAGGACCTTGGCTTGAGGCAGCGTAACTGCAACCTTGGCATTCTCCTGTGTGTACGTGTGTCTTTTCACACGGCATTCCTTTAAAAGGATAGCAGTCCTATAGGAATAGGGACCACCCTATTCCAGTACACCTCATATTACCTTATTACAACCGCAGCAATTCTTTTTCCTAATGACATCTGTTTTGGAGGCAATGGAGATTGGGACTTCAATACATTAATGTGATGAGGGAGAGGCAGACTTACCTCAATCTCAAACAATATTCCATAGAAATGAGAGGTGAGCGGAGAGAATGACCTACAAGGGTGTTCCTTGTAGTGTTTTTTATAATATGAAAACAAAGAAAGAAACTTTCCTGCCTTGTATCTCTGTTCCAACTACTCCACAGAACATGCAGATAATAAAATCCAGGCAACCATTTAAAATAATATGTTTAAAGAATGCTTGATCCCATTGCAATATATTCATGATGAAACATTAAGTAAAATATGCAGAGCCATTTTGTATTATCAGTGTATATATTTGAAAAAAATAATGAAAGGTTAGACACCAAAATGTAAGTGGTAGATATCATTTTAATTTTATATTTTCCATATTATCTTTAACCAAGAATATAAAATATTTATTAAAATTAAAAGTAATCAAAGTAAAAATAACAATAATAAAAAAATTTTTAAGAGTTTACAAGGTGAGGGAAAGGGTCAGTTTCCTGCCCAGAAACAAAGATCTCAGCTTGTGGTTCTTTGACAGGCCCTCCAGATCGTGATAGGGATGGTACACATCTGCCTCGCTTTCATCCTCTTAACTTCCGTGGCTGGGCAATATGCAGCTGTCTCATTTGTTGGAGGCTATCCCTTCTGGGGAGGCATCACGGTAAGTAACTTCTCTGCAAGTGAGTTCCAGAAGCTGCCAATCCTCAGGGCCACTTTGTCGGGTTGTACTTTGTCGAAGGTGGTTTCCAGTCAAGAGAGCATGTGGGCTGTGAACGCAGCTCAGGCTTTGCTCACCAAGAACATTAGTCTGCTTGCACAGCCAGAACAAATACTGCAGACGGGGTGGATCAACAGCAGACATTTATTATCTCACAGTTCCTGAGGCTTGAAGTCCAAGATCAACATTTTACCAGGGTTGTTTCTTCCTGGGCTTGTAGGCGGTCATCTTACGCCCAATACCTTTACATGGTCTCTGTGTGTTTGTGTTCCAAAATCTCTTCTTATAAGAATATTAGTTACATTAGATTAGGACCCATCGTTATGACCTTATTTAAGCTTGATCACCTCTTTAAAGGCTGTGTCTTGAAATACAGATGCTCCTCAACCTATGATGGGATTACATCCCAAAAAACCCATCCTCAATTGAAAATATCCAAAATAAAAATAGGTTAAATACTGCACTGTAGAGAATGGGTTGTTCACCCTCGTGATCACATGGCTGACGGGGAGCTGTACCTGGATGTTGCTGTCCAGCATCTCAAGAGAGTACCCAACCACATACCACTTGTCTGAGAAAAGATCAAAATTCCCAGACCAAAGTACAGTTTCAACTGGATGCATATTACTTTCTCACCATTGTAAAGTAAAAAAAAATATCATAATTCTGACCCTCATGAATCTGAAACGGATACTGGACAGCCTCCTGCCTTCTAGCACAATCAATGGTGCTCTGTTGCTCACCTCCTAGAGGCATAACTCTGGAGACAGCAGTTTGGTGAAAAGGAAAGGGGTTGTTTATTTAAAGTTTACATAGTTTTGTAAAGGTGGGCAGTTTCTGCCTCAGGGTCTCCTCCCTTAGACATACCCAAAGACAAACATTCCTGCCACCCTCTGTCCGGTCAGGAATGCATCTGAAGTACCTTTCACATTCCTAATAACACCATGCTTTACGGGTGCTGGGCTGTGCGCTCGGACAAATGGTCTCAGGGAACCTGCTGGTTTCAGAGACCCAGGCTCCCTGCAGCTGTCAAGGGCAGCCAGGGGAGGGGAAATAGCACAGCTTCTGCTCACGTTCAGTTTAAAAGTCCTCTCCAGAATCCCACACACACCAGAAGCCAGTAAGGATGTCCAGCTTCCAAACAAGGAGGGCAGGTATCAGCCATATTTGTCTTTGTCCCACTTCTGTTCACCACGTCTAGCAAAGGGGCAAAGTCTCTATTCATGCATGCTCTGTAATCATTCTCCTCTGAAGGCTCCTCCCCTGTCAGCCAAGGGGATTGACATTTAGTCTTCAGTTCAACCTTGGGGTGTTACCCTTGCCCCCTGCCTCCTCCCAGCCATCTGGCCTGGCCCCTCCGTTACAGAACCATCACTACAGTCACATTCTGAGGTACTGGGGGCTAGGACTTCAAAAGATGGGATTTTGAGGAGACACAGTTCAACTCATAAGACCAAGTGACAGCCCAGGAAGGCACGTTTACCCAGAGTGAGCAACTTCTCTAATTCACACAAACAACAATGTACTGGGAATAGCAGCCAAGTGTTGTTCGATGCAGGCCCACAGCCCAAGCTCCAGCAGAGAAACATTTCCAACACTTGCAAAGAGGGGTTGCTCAGCCACAGAGCAGTCCTTAAGAAGAGGGGACTTAAGAAGTCCCAAGTTCGGCCCAGAGTACCATTTTGGCACAATCTATGGCACATTACATGTTTTCTTTTCTGGAAAAGCCCCCTACGTTTTTTTATCACATTCTCAAGGTGGCCTGTAACCCCTTCAAGGGTTAAGAAACACAGGTCCTTCTCTTCAATGTGTCGCCTTTTTGATTCTTTGGCAGTCCCCTTAGTGTCCTCCCTCCTCCACACACACATAGAAACACACACGCACAAAATACGCATTCACATCCAATTCTTTCACCACCCAAATATTCTTGACCCAATGCAACTTTTCTCAAAAAAAAAGAAAAAAATTCAAGACTAAGCTGGACAACAGCCAAGTCACCCTGTCCCATGAGACTTAAATAAAATGGCCGGAGTAATTGGCCAACTCTTGTACACACAACATCTGTAAAAACTCATGGCTTATATTCTTGGGAGCACTTTGGTCTGATACCCTCTCTCTCGTGCTGCCATTTGTGCCTCACTTGTGAGGCTGAGGTCCTCCCTTGGGTCTGCACAGACGCAGACTAGGAGCTCAGCCCCTGTTCCTTTGCTCAGCCACAGCACCTGTATCTGCATAACATACTGCTCTGGGGTTTCGGGCCGTGGAGATGATAGCACCAAACCACACATCAGTTGCTATCGAGTGTTAGATTCTCTTCTCCATTCTTAACTGCCTGGTGGCTGCCTTGGCATCTCAAATGCCTCGGTAGCCATCTCTGCTTACACATGGTGGCTCAGGTCCCATCGGTCCTCATGACACCCGCTTCCTTTTTGTCTGCAGGGCATTTTTCTCCTTGTTGCCCTCTTGACTCCAGGGCTATCTTTCTGTTTCCTCAAGATCATTCATGTCCTCCCACAAACAAAGGCCTCTTTCCTTGGGTTCCTCAGGGAGATCTGCAGGGACATCAGAAGTACAGCCTTCTGTTTCCTTTCTTCCCCATGAAGGCTCTATAAAACGAAGGGTGAAAGACTGAGATTTATTACTCACTTATAGAATTGGCATTTCCTTTAGAAGTCACCATCGCCGAGAGCACGTTTTCATCGGGAACACCCATTTCCTCTGCATGGCTCAACATCTACTCTGGGTGGGGAGGGAGACTTAAGAACACAAGATCTGGAGCCAATACCTAAATTTAACTCCCTTATCTCCTAAGTGCTGGATGGTCTCGGGTACGTTATTTAAAATTTCCAAGCCTCAGTCCGGCACTCTATAAAATGATAATAGTAATACTGCTTGATGGGCCATCATGCAGGAATAAAGCAAGGTTAGAAGCACTTCATTCAGGGCTCAGCAAAACTTTCATGAAACCCTAGCCGACACCGCCTCAGACCCTCAGGGACAGCAGGGCGTCCCATCAGCCACTCTGCCCAGAGGACATGAATGGGGAAATAACACAATGAACCCCACCTGCCTCTTATTGGAGTTTCAACACCATAGACATGCTACATTCTTCTGAGAAGCTAAAAGGGACTCACAAATTAGAGAAAAGCAAAGACCGATTTGGGCTTATGCTTAATAGCAGTGAAAATTTGGAGAACTTCTTCCTTCTCCCATCCAGAGGCCACATGCTTAACTGAGTCCTACTGGAAGACCAACAGAGTGTGCACTAGACGAAAGAAACACCAGGAAAGAGATAATTTTTGAGTGTCTATTGTGTATAGGATCCACCATGGGCAAGATATAAGAAATGCCTGATTCAAGGGACAAGTTATCTCATGACAATGACACTTAGGAAGACATAATAGTTTTTCCCATTTTGTAGATGAGGAAATGTTCACATAGAGAAATCAGTAACTTGCCCACAATCCTGTGAGTTTCAAGCTGGAATTTAAAACTAGGTCTGGGCCCATGTTCTAGTTACGATGGTGGTGTAGGTAAATACTGCTTGCCTCCTCACACAACCACAGCAAAAATCACAACTAAACTAGAAAACAATTATCACTGAGAAGAGTCCGAAAACTGAGTTTATGGAGGTCCTACGACCAAGGAATTAAAGAAGTCATATTCATCCAGATGTAGAGAGGGGCAGAGACCCCCATATGAGGAGAGCGGAAATGCAGAGACACAGAGCACATGGTCCCACATCCATGTGTGGTGGATAAAAAGCAGGAGGGATACCTTGCGAGTGAGGGTTCCCATCCACACCCATGACCACCCAGCTCAGGGCTCCAGTGACAAGAAGAAAAGTCCCCGTGACTTCTGGCTATGAAAACCAGTGCAGGTACTGGTGATGGAAAAAACTGCAGGATTCTCAGGGGTCTCCTCTTAAAAGTTCTGCAATGGACTTAGGACTTATGCAAACTCATTCACTCTGGGCCCTTCAGCTGTAAGGCACCAGTGGCACACAGAAAGAAACTAATGATTCTGGCATCAGAAGGAGCACTGGGGGACAGCTTCTTCCCTGAAAAATTTACCAGAGGCCAAGCAGTGGCATTGTCTGCTTTCTGAGCCCTCTCTCACACAGAGCCACAAAGCGGCAGCACTATATCTGAGACTCCATCAATCTGGTTCACACAGGTTACCCCACCTGGTGCATACCTAAGGCTCCACCCCAACCAACTTACAGGTGCACTTTTCTACAATAAGCCATGCCACTAAGACAGGGAGTCAAAGAAGCTCTACCAGATACATACAAACAAACACAGGGAGGCTGCCAAAACGAGGAGATAAAGAATTGAAATGAAATGAAAGAATAGCACAAAACTCCAGAAAAAGAACTAAACAAAATAGAGGTAAGCAATCTAGAAGATGCAGAATTTAAAACATTGGTTATTAGGATGCTTAAGGAACTCCCTTGGGACTTCAACAACAGAAAAAAAGACACAGGCAGAAATGAAGCTTACACTGAGCAAAACAAAGAAAAATTTACAGAGAACCAACAGTGGAGAGGATGAACCCAAGAATCAAAATGATGATTTGGAACACAAGGAAGAAAAAAAGCATTCAATCAGCATAGCAAGAAGAGAAAAGAATATAAAAAAACACATAAAAAACCAAAAAAGGATAGGTTATGGACCCTCTGGGACAGCATCAAACACCTAGCATTTGAATCATGGGGGTGCCAGTAGGAAAAGAGAAAGAGCAAGAAATTGAAAATTTATTTGAAAAAATAAAGAAAGAAAAGTTCCCTAATTTGGAGAAAAAAATAACATACAAACCCAGGAAGCAAACAGAGTCCAGAACATGAGGGACCCAAAGAGGATGACACCAAGGCATATCACAATTTAAATGCCAAAGGTTAGATTTAAAGAGAAAATCTTAAAAGCAGCAAGACAAAAGCAGATAGTCACCTACAAAAAAGTTCCCATAAGACTGTCAGCTGATTTCTCAAAGGAAACTTTGCAGGCTAGAAGGGAGTGGCTAGAAGTATTAAAGTGATGAAAAGCAAGGGCCTACAACCTATATTACTCTATCTAGAATAGCTATCAATTAAAACTGAAGGACAGATAAAGTGCTTACCAGACAAAAATGAAGGATGTTCATCATCACCAAACCATGATTATAGGAAATATTAAAGGGACTTATTTAAGAAGAAGAGGATGAAAACTATGAACATTAAAATGACAACAAATTCACACCCATCAACAATTAAATGTGAAAAACAAACTAAGCAAACAAACACAACACAAACAGAATCGTAGATATGGAGAACATTTGTAGGGTTATCAACTCAGAGAGGGAAGAGGGAGAGTAGGGGAAAAGGTGCAGGGTTTAAAAAGTACAAATTGGTAGGTACAGAATAGACAGGGGAATGTTAAGAACAGTATAGGTAAAGGAGTAGCCAAATAACTTATATACATGACTCATGGACATGAAGTAAGAGTGTGATTGCCAGAGGAAATGGGAAGGGTTCTGAAATCAATAGGTGAAAATTTGGGACAACTACAATAGCATAATCAATGAAATATATTTTAAAAATTTAACTAGGTCTGCTGCATTCTAGGATATATTTATCCCACACACTGGCCTGTTGTGTGGTGCACAAGCAACTCATTCATTCATTCATTCATTCATTTCCCCACATGAGCTGTATGAGAGCATATGTGTGTGACCAGAATCACAGAAGCTTGAAGGTGGGGATCCTGAACTCTGACCTCTTTCTTAACTCTCTCTTCTGTGCCAGTTCATCATTACAGGATCCCTCTCAGTGGCATCAGAGCAGCAGCCAAACTCTCCTTGCCTGGTAAGTCAAATCCTGGGATGGGCTCTCCCAGCTGTGGACCTATAGGAGGGAAGCACAATGGAGGAAAGAAGCTAACACACATCCTTCCTCCATCCTTGCCCCTGCTTATAACCAGACACATGGCACGGACACACATGCGCACTCATTATCACATAAAGAACGACACCAACCTGGCCAAGTCACAAAAGGGAAGAGTTCAGATGATAGGGGAGAAGGAAGGACAATACAGCCACCTTTGATAAGGCATCAGGGTGTGGAGAGACAGAGAGAGGAACTCTCCTAAGAAGATCTTACAGGGGGAGGCACAAAGCTGCCTGGGGCTCAGGGCTCCCCTCCAACAGAACAGGGCACTGGGACTGCTTCCAGCGCGCAGAGCTGACCTCCAGAAATTTCTACAAGGAAGTGAAGGGAGGCTCAGGCAGAGGCTTCCCTAGAAATCCATACAACCAAATTTTGTGAATCAACATGGATCAGGCTCTGGGGTCCCCTAGCAATGGACCAAGAAAGTACCTTTGCTTCTCTCACAAGCAGGTTATCTAGGGGCAGGGGCCCCAGGATGACCAGGTCCCACACCACTGAGATACTTGAAAATCTCCCAAGGGGAGCTCAGTTCTGGGAGTGCCACCCTGCTATTACCCACTATTGTGGAGCATCAGAGCCTGTCACATCCCAACACCCTGGGGCTGAGTCCCCTGCCTATCTCCTTACAGATAATTGGGTGGAGAATTTCCAAAAGATTTTTCTTGGTGAGATTATCCCATGAGATACTTTATGAAGCTGGTTAGGTAAACACTGGGGGGAATCTCTATTTAACAGTCCCCTGGCTGAAAGATCCATAATACTTGTTAAAGGCTCTGAGATGTCAAGCACAAAAGATGGGTTTAATTTTGCTTAACTCAGATTTCTTCCAAATTAATATAGCCCCCAAACTTTTTGCACAGAACAGCTCTTGACTTGCTGTAGAACTAGGGTTCTGGGAATTCACATTAAGAAGCACTTATTGAGTCTCTGTTCATCTCACCTACAGTCGTTTTTCTCTCTCCTGCGTCTTACTCAGCTTAAGGGTAGCTTCAGCATGAACATCCTCAGTGGGATCTTTTGTGTTATTGGAATCATCCTCTTCCTCGTAGAATTGATTCTCAACTCTGAGTATATGCCAGTCAACTACAATAAGTGGGGTGTGGTGAGTATCCCTGTTGACCAATGCTCCCCTGGGTTCCAGCTCAGCTGTGTTTAGGAAATCATTAGAAAGACACCTGACCACCATCTTCTTCAGCAAGCACTGAAGAAAACGGAGATGCTGTCAGAATCAGAATAGACTTTAAACTCTCTGACCTCAGTTTATTGCTGTGTTACTCTAACCCTGTGACTTTTCTTAGTCTTAGTTTCTATGTTTATAAATTAGACCTACTTTTTGACATCGTCGGAAGAATTAATGCAACTGTACACACAATGCAAAGGCACCCGCCAACCTGCACCTCTACTCGCATGGTCGCCTTCCCACCCATTGCTTTGGACAGCGGGGCTAACAAAGGTCTTCTGTGCAGGGCCAGAGGGCAAACATTTAAGTCTTTTCAGACCATCTAGCAGTTGAGTAGTGTTGCAACTACTCAAGCCTGTGTGAACGCAGACATAGGAAATGCATAAACGAATGAGCCGTCTCAGGTAGCGGACCAGTGCCATCCAACAGAAATATAACGTAAGCATGGACGTGATCTGAAGTTTTCTAGCTGCCACATTATAAAATTAAAAAAAAGGAACGGTTAAACTTAATTTTATTGATACATTGACTTAACCCAACAGCTCCAAAAATCTCCTTTCAGTATGTAAGAAAATTATTAATTCAATATTTTGCATTTTGGGTGCCACGTCTTTGAAATCCAGTGTGTTTTTTGCATTTACATCACATCCTGAGTCCTCGGAGGACTCGTGGCTACCAGGTTGGAAAGTGCAGCTACACATGAGTCCCATGTAAACTCAATGTCTCCCTCTGCACTACAGCCCTGTCCTCCCGCCCACTCAAGATTAACACCAGTGCTTCTCCCCTCTCACTTGCCCCCGCCTCTATTCTACTTCAATTTCCACCCTTTAATAGAGCTTTTCATAAGCATCTACACATGCTTCTGTTTCCTTCATCTTCAGAAAGAAATTATTGTTCAGTTACTTCAGCTACCACTCTGTTTCTCTGGCCCTCTCTGCAGAAGAATCCTTAAAAGAATTGTCTGCCTCGTGGTTCCAACTCTTTCCTCTCATAATCTCTCCTCGGCTGAATGTAAACACACTTTCAGCCTCATTCTCCAGTTTCTTCTTTGCTCAATGTCCTCTGTCAATCCTCCTCTTTGGAGACTTCCCGGTGGCTTCCAGGCCCAGCAGCTGGTGTTCCTCCACCCACAACGGTTGATGTCCTCTCTGTCTCCTCTCGCCCCCAGCCTCTCAGGCTCAGTCCTTGGTCTCCTGTGTCTCTCTGTACTCAGTGCTTTCGCAATCGCATCCAGTCCGGTGACTTGAAACACTTTCTCTGTGACAATGACTCCCCAAACCTGTCTCCCAAACTTCAGTCTCTTGAATTCAGATGTCCACTCACCATCTAGATTTAGCATATCCTAATCCAATCTCCAGATTTCATATCCCAAACTCCTCTCGGGTTTCCTTTTCCCCATCGATGGCTACTGTGCTTCCAGTCACTCAGGACAAACCTTGGTGGATTCATCCAACCCCTCTATCTCTCCCGCACTTGCCAGCCAACTCCTCGGGCCATTCTGCCACTTTCACCTTGACAGTGTATCCAAGATCCAGCTGGAGCCACCTCCACCTGGCTTCTAATATCCGTTCTGCCAAGGATGATCTGGACAGAGAACTACCCCATCCCTGACACCCACCCCACCTCTGGCCTCCGTCCTTGCACCTGAACAAGGAGGGCTGGACTTCATCACAGCTTTGGGTATGAGGAGTCAAGGTTTGGAGCACTCCCAGGGTTCAGTGTGCACGAGTGAACGCTCACCAAACAACAAACAGCGAAGCTGCTTGACGAACCTCTCCTCCCTCATGGAAGATACCTTCTTAACTTTTTTCTATTTTTCAATTACATTTGACATATAACATTATATTATTTTAAGTTGTACAGCATATTGGTTAGATATTATATTATGTAAAAGGCGAACGCCCCAATCGGTCCAGTATCTACATGACACCACACGTAGATATTACAATACTAATGACTACATTCCCTAGGCCGTACTTCAATATAATGTCCTGTGGTTGTTTTATAACTGTCCATCTGTACTTCTTAACACTTTCCTCTTGTACATCTTTCCTTCAAACACTCCTCCAAAAGTTTTATTTATACAAGAATTTTGCTCCTGGAAACACATTTGAGATGGACCAGCATCATTTGTTAAGACCACTCCTCCCAGGGCTTCTGTGATTCCTTGGCTAAAACATCGTTGTCCTCTGGTTCCCTTTGCGTGGACACCCTGTCCGACCCCACATCTGTAAATCTTCCGCTAAGCATGGACCTCTGTCTCTTCTCAGTGCCCTGAGGTACTTTCTGGCCCTTTTTATAGCCCTTACCATGTCTGATGTGAATTATAATTATCTACATCTGTACCTCCCTCCTTCACAAGAGTGTTCCTCTCGGGATTCTTCTTTAGCCACTCCTAGCAAGCAGAGGTTTAATCAATGTTTGCTAAATGTAGAGGGAAGAAAGGGAAAGTGCTGAGGAGGAGTCTCTCCACATGGGAGGGTCCTCTGAGCAGCTGGCTGTCACGCCCGCCATTTTAAAACTCAAAATCAGCAAACATTTGTTTGGTGCCTGCCATGTGTCATGCATATTCACTTTCATATTTACTCTCTCCTATAATTGGAATCTAAATGACTCTTGGAGTCATTTTTCCCTTGACCTTTTGGCGGAAAGTGGATTCTACACGAACTCTCCCACAGATACAGTTGGAGACCTTATTCTCCAGGGTATTCTTGCAAAAGAGTGAGGAGGGGCTTAGATGTCTCCTGGTCCTCAGGTGAAATCTACTGCTGTGGAATTAGTTCAACTTTGGTGTACTTTTACTGACTCTTTGCCAAGTCTAAAGACAGCCCAATTATTTCTCTCCACAAAATTCCGTGGTGAACCAGCCCGAAAAGTTGTTTCACTAGCCCACTTTCTCTAAAGGTGCAGAGAAATGGTGGAGAATTACATTGGAGCCCAGGCAACTACTGATGACTGAAGATTACACATCGCTGCCTCAGTCTTCATTTCTCATAGGATGCCTTTGTCTGCGGGCTCCAACTTCACGTTGTGTTGCCCAGTCCTGTCTTTCTCCTCTAACCCTTTCACTTTCCTCCCAGTGACTAGTCCATACTCCCAAATTTGTATTCACTTCCTACACTGAACAGTCTCACTGTCTGACCCCAGATCCCACCCTTAGGTTTCATCCTCTGTACCTGAAACAAGCTATCAAGGTGTTTACCTCAATGATGGCTACTCTTTCCCTTACAAACACTGGTACTAAGTGTTAAAATAAATTTTTACAAACACACTTGACCCTCACCAAAACCTGGTGAGCAATTTTCTCCAAGACACTCAGACGAGGTCAGGGGACTTCCTCAAAGCCATTGGCACAGTCCACTGCAGAGCCACACTTCGAGCCAGACCTCGGACTCCCGGAGCAGCACACGTGACCTCATTCATTCTGGTTCCAGATCCCTGGAAAAGCTACCTCCAGCGTGCTGCTCATCTTCAGCCTCCTGGAGCTCTGCATTGCCTCCACAGGGGCCCACTTTGGCCGCCAGCTGGTCTCCTCTCCAATCAACAATGTGAGTCTGAAGGCTCCCCAGTGGGTAGAAAGATGCTCCAAAGAGGGTGGAGATAGAGGTGTTTGGGGGCTTCCCCTTTCTGCTCAGCAACCAGGGAGTCTGGGAATGTCTAATGGCCTCCATGAGTGCTAGCTCTCTCCAGAGCACCTCCTGTGCCCGTCTTTTCCAGGGGCCTGCGATCTTCCAAAGCGTCTGCGTAGCAAATCCAGTGGCCAACCCAGAGCCAGTAAACGTGCCACCTGTTTATCCAAGGTCGGTTCAGGGCCACCATTAGGCCAAAGGTTCTAGAGCATCACTCACTGGGACCAAAAGAAGACCTCCCATTTTGCTCTTAAAAACTCAGCTCCTAGCCCTGGCTGTTGCTCAGTGGATTGAGTGGTGGCTGAGACCCCAAGGGACACTGGTTCGATTCCCAGTCAGGGTACTTGCCTGGGTTGCGGACCAGGTTCCCTAGTGAGGGGCACAGGAGAGGCAACCACATGTTGATGTTTCTCTTCCTCCCTTTCTCACACCTTTCCCCTCATAAATAAAATCTTTGAAACGATAAAAAAAATAATTTGCTCCTTCCTACTCTGACAAATTAAGGAACATGCCTCTCAAATTGTGTTTACTCTGGACTTTATTCACTTCATCCTGCTAATTTCTGCTGTGCCTCTGTTGAAGAGGAGACAGGAATTTAAAGTGGAGTTTAGCAAAAAGGTCCTCCCTTGGGCAGCCACGTGTGGGGCCATTTAGTACATGTATTTATGTGCTTACCTGTGTGAGCTTAGGAATTGGAGGAACAAATGTCCAGAAAACCCAAGCTTCATCCTTTCATTCACTCATGAATAAATATGCACCGAATATTTGATATGTTCAAGCTTCTATTCATGGCAGGAGAAGGGTGAACATGAATGAACACATGAAGTCATTGATTTCAAGGGACTTCTTCACAAGGGAGGACAACATGCAAGCAGCTTTCTCTAAAACAAGGCAGAAGGTGGGGATGTACAGAAAAAACAGAGATGGAAATTTTGGAAATAAGTATCTTTATTTACACAGTATAGGAACTAACTGGAAGAGAAATGGCTAAGTCTATGGCTTCTAGATTTACACATGTTATTTTAAATATTGTTATCCATGATGGCCAATTGGCTTCCCAAATGTTACATGACAACAGATTATAGCAACAAACTCTGAAGTCCAGGTACCATCACATTTTCTTTTACAGCAGAAGCCTGAAAATAACATTTTTGTTTTCGTTACTAAATACAGAAATTATATTACTCCTGTATATATGTTTAGGTTCTGATTTTACCTCAGAAGCTTCCACTAAATGGCTTCATTCCTGCTGAGTTCTGCCTGCTTCGGGAACTGCATTTTCTCTGACCATGAGCTTTTGGCTTCTCAGCAGTTGGTCAGAAATCTCAGTTGGCTGAGATTCCGAGGCTTCCAGTGGGTGTTCTAGAACTGTGCAGGGCTTAAGAAATCACAGACAACAGTAATGGAGGCTGGAGTATGTAAATTGCTGCTTTCAAAGCAGACCTCCGCTTATTAGCTCTGTCAGCTGAGATATGTGTTCATTGGGTTCCCAAGAGGGGCTGGCCTGTTGGACCATTCTCAGAGGGTGAGGTAGGCAGAGTGAGTCTAGCCATCTCTCCTTTTTCTTCTGTAGCGTTGCCTCTCACTGCCCCATCTGATTCCATCCCTCATCAGCAGATCTCCAGTCCTCCACCTTATCCTACACTCTGTTCTCAGGGCTTCCCTCCTGACTTGTCTGACCTGTGAGTTAACACACATGCTCCAGGTGTGTCTCACCTCCTACAGCGTGGATCATATTAGAGAAAGCAACTCGGAACACACTTTACGCTTCTCAATAGAGGTGACACCAGCCACCTGCCATGCTGAAATCAGCAATGAATAAAGCCCCTTGTTTATCCTACTGCCTCCATTATTTATTCTGTGTGCCAGGTCCCTCATCCCAGAGGGCCCCTTCACCAACCTGGGGTGACAGACCACTGCCTCCCGTAGGAATGACTCGTGTGCTTGCTCTGCACTTCTCCACAAGCCATCCGTCTGCACACTCCCGTCCATTCACTCCCATCCTCTCCAAACGACGACACATAAAAACTGGAAGAGACCTGGGAGATCTGCGGAGAGATGGAAACACACAGGTGGAGAGGAAAGAAATTTTCCCAAGGTTATCAGCCCAGCTGGGAGCATAATAAGATCAGAACCAGAACTCCAGATGGCCAGTCCAGGGTTCCTTGCAGAAGCAGAGATGTATATGGGGAAAAGAAGGTAATTTAGGTCAGATGAGAGTGTCTCCTCCACCTTAGCCATCAACACGCCTTTCTCCCACTCCCGCACTCCTTATACCAGTAACAGTATTCCTGTCACCAAAGCCGCCAACCCACCTCATGCTGCCTATGAGGGTGTTCCTTCTTGTACACGAGTGTGTTTCCACTCACCCTGAAAAGGTATGTTGCAGCATGACCTCCCAAAAGTCAGGTTTGCGTACACAATGCACTAGTAAGCCACAAAATTGAGACACTGGAGCTTGAAGGGAGAGAAAAGCTTATTCAATTTGGCCCAGATAAGAGGACAGGAGAGCAAGAGGTTTCAAATCATTCTTTCTCAATAAGCAGCGTTTTCCAGTTCCATCCATGCTGAGTGAAATACGCCAGGTGTTGAGAGACAACTATCATATGATCTCATCTGTAAGTGGAACGTATATCAACAAAACAAACTTGCAAGTAAAATAGAACCAGAGACATGGATAAAGAACCAACTGACAGTAACCAGAGGAAGGGAGGTGGGAATAACAGGGGAAAGATAGGGAAGGCTCAAGTCAAGGAGCATGTATAAAGGACCCATGGGAAGACAAGCGGTGGGGAAGGATTGAATGTGGGCGGTGGGGGGTTGGTAGAACAGGGGAGAGTAATGTGGGGGAAATGGGGACAACTGTGATTGAACAACAATACAACATTTTTTTAATGATTTAGAAAGGGAAACCAAAGCAAGGTTTTGATGCAGCTGGGAAACATAGGAAGGGAAAGTTTCAGGGAACTGTGAGACGCGGCTGTGTTTCTTCAGTGATAGATGACGCTTTCGGATCAGACCCCTGGTGGCCCTCAATGCATCTCCTCCTGCTTGATAGAGAGACAGTACGTCAGCAACACAAAACGCTACTATGAGAATGAGGGGTACAGGGTTGAAGAACTAAGATTCTGAAAAATATCTCATAATTGTGTACCAGTGACCTCATCTTTAAAGCAAAATGCGGGAAGTAGACATCTTGTGACCATCATCATTGTTGCGTGCTTAACTAGATATATTTCTCTGTTAGCTCAAGAAAAGTATACTTTCAAACATTTCTCCTGGAACTCACCTTACAGTCAGGCCTTCAGAACATGATCAACATACTTTACAATCTGGGACTATCAGCTCTGTGACAGACAAAGCAATTCGAACATAGTTAAAGCCTATACTTCTATCCTAATTCAGAGTTAAATTGCTGAAGTCTAGCTGCCAAAAATACTGGGGACATTGAAATCACAATGGTCCTGGCTATAGGCACACCCCAGCAATTCTTCAAAAAGGAAGGTACCAACCTCAGGGTGATTTCTGGGAAAATATGAACGTAGTATTGTTTGTCACAGGGAGTGGAGGAGGTGGTGAGTCACTAAAGACATTTAGGGAATAGAGCCAAGATGCTAGGCTTTCTGAAATTTCAGGACAATCTGAAACAGAGATCGATTGTCTCTCATGACTTTGGAATGTCCCATCCAACTTTCACAAAGAAGATGACACTATTCATCATTATTTGAGCCTAGAAGTTCGTGATAATTTTCAAGGCCTATCATGTATCAAGGTTTCTGGCAATGTAGCTGCCACATGCGTAGCTTTACGTGGGACTTCAAGTCCCAAGAGGGATTCGCCATGTAAGATAATATGAAAAAAAGGCAAAGCCACTTGTGCTTGAGTCAGCGCTCCAGCACAGCCCTCTCAGTCTACGTTTGTCGTTACCTCATGCAAACAGCTCACAGAGGAGAAACAGGACCCCTCTGACATAAAATCCGTTATGAAATTGGAATACACATGTGAGGTAGAGGGAAGGAACACATTTAATTTCATTTAAGTTTAAAAAACAATAGTGATGCTTTTTAAATACTTCATGTTATTGCCATCTGCAATGGCTAATCATACGTGTCAACCGGAGTGGGCCACAGGGTGCCCAGACAGCTGGCGAAACACTGTCGCTGGGTGTGTCCTTAAGGATGTTTCCAGGAGAGATTACCCTGTGAGTTGGTGAAATGGGTAGAACAGATGGCCCTTCCCAATGTGTGTGAAACTCACCCAAATAGGCAGAGGAAGGTTGAACTGGATTTCTGTCTCACTGCTTGAGCTGGAACATTGTTACTTCTGCCCTCTGCCCTCCTGCTTCTCAATTGTTTGAACCTACGTTGGTATCTACTCCATCAGTTCTCTGGCTTTAAGGTTTCAAATAATACTGCCAGCTTTCCTATGTCCCGAGTTCCAGCTTGCAGACAGCTGATCAAGGAAGTCCTTAACCTCCACAGTCAGGGGAGCCAACACCTTCTAATCTCCCCCCCCCCACCTTCTCTCTCTCTCTCTCCCCCCGCCCTTTCTCTTTCTGGACACTCATTCTTCCTAGATTTGTGGGGTTTTCCCCTTCCCCAGACTAAGGAAGTTTTCAGTTATGATTTCTTCAAACAGTTTCTCAAAACCTTGCTGTAGGGTACGTGGAGGTGGTCTGGCTCCCTCAGCCAGATGCGTGGGTAACCAGAGGAAGAAGCTCCTCACAATCTTGAAGGAGTCTGATAAAGCAGTATTCCCACAGGCTTTTGCACAGGTCTCAGGAGCTTGATCCTTGGGTGCACTAAACTGCCCGGTAGCCTAGAAAAGGATCATATGCGCAGCTCATGATTGCTACTTCACCTTCTGGCCTGATCGCCTGCCTTGTTTGGGGCTAGTATGTAAGGGATAGGAGCTTTGGTCGGGGTGGGGAGTCAGTGAGCTGACTTGGACACGGGCTTGTGGCTTGTGTGACTCCCTCCGCATGGGCTCATGGCCTGTACGGCAGGGACACAAACTTTGTGGCCTGTGTGACTCTCCCGAATAAAGGCATGTCAAGCATCCCCAAGGCTCCATGCGTCTTCTTCCGTCTCCCTGAGCCCCAAGCGGACCTGTCCAGCCTAGAGAGGCTGCCACACACTGGCTCTTTCACTTCTCTTGCTGTTACAGCTATGATACAGATGTTGTTATGCATCATGTTGTTTTCCAAAGGGGTCTTAATCTATCCTTATGTTTAAAAATTCCTTTTTCTTTTTGCTGTTCTGATTAGGTGTTTTAGTCTGCCTTGTCTTCCAAATTGCTTACTTGATCAACAGCTTTATCTAATCTACCGTTTTTTTCCTTCCCGTGTATTCTTCATTTCAGATATTGTATTCTTCACTTCTGACTGGTTCTTTTTTATGGTTTCTATGTCCTTTTTCATGCTGTTGAGCATTCCTATAACCATTACAGTGAACTCCATTTCACTTAGCTCTTTTTCTGGATATTCCTCCGATTCTCTCATTTGAGACCTGTTTTGTGGTTTTGTTTGTTTGTTTGTTTTCATCTCCCCAGTTTGGCTGCCTCTTTGTGTTTGTTTCTATGTATTAGATAGATCTGTTATGACTCCCAGTCTTTGTGAGGCTACCTTATGTACTAGGTGCCCTACGGTGTGCAGTGGTGCAGTCTCCTTGATCACCTGACCTAGGTGAGCCAGGATTGTCGTTTTATTTTAAGTTACGTGGGCCCCCTTGTTGTAACTGAGTTTTGACTGGTATTGGCATGTTCATGCATGTATCAACCCTCAGTTCTAGCTCACTGTGAGGCTCACCTCTGACCACAGCGTGTAAGCTGCTGGACCTGTGGGGACCACACAAGGTGGAACTTGCCTCAGCAGGGCTTAGTGCCCACCAAGATCTCCCTTCGGAGAAGGGGCTTGCGAAGTTCATTGGCTCCTGCTCTGGTGTTGCCTGAAGCTGGCCACTGGGTGCGCTCCTTCTGGGCCTCTTGGGAAAGACTCTGGTGCAGTCTCATGTCACGCACTGCCTGTGACCAGCCCTGAGAAACCTGTTTGGAGCTACAAGTCACCCACAGTTTGTGGCTTCCTGCTGGACCCGGGGCGCGCACAGGAAGGACCAAGCGGTGCTCCACGACTGACTATTACCAGCACCAGGCCCAGGGCAGGTCAGAAAAGCCCCAAGGCACCTCGATATGTGCCTCTGCCTGCCTCTGCCTGCTGGCTGTGTGTTAGGCTCACTCACTGAAAGAGCCTCTGGCTATACTTGCCAGCACGGGACAAGCTTTCACGGGGGTGAAAGGAAGTCCGGAGGGCAAGGCCAGTGCTATTCTCCACACTGATGCCACACGGAAGAGCGCTCCACCCAAAAAAGGCGGCCCCTGTGGTATGAGAGAAAGACTCACGCAGGGCTCCTGGCGGCTGTCCCTTCAGCTCTCTCACCAGAGCCAAAGCCCCAGATTCTCCTCATGCAACATTAGCCTCCTCAGCCCTCCTTCTCCTGGAGCCCAGGGTGAGTGGCCGAGAACAAAATTGTGTGTGTTGACCCTTTAAGAGGTTACCTGTGTCTCTAGTGGACTCCAGCTTCTCTCTGGTGGAAAGAAACCCTGCTGTTATTCACAGCCAGATGTCACGTGGATGCCTCTTCTTGGCGCCAATGCTCCGGGCTGTGGAACCAGGTGGGGTTTAGACTGCATGCTTTTCAGGAGAGCCACCTACGACTGAGAGAGCCCTGCTGCACCTCAGCCACCACCCATGAAAGCAGGGCCGGCCTCTGCTCCATCTCCACCCTCCTTGCCAGGCTGTTCATGGCTTCATCTGTAAATCTTTGATTAAGAGAGTTCTCTTCAGCTAATCATCAGTTGGTTGTTCAGGATGACTCTTCTACAATTTAGTTGTAATTCAAGTTTGATGCTGGGGTAAGGTGACTGTAAGTTCTACCTACCACATGTCACCTGAGCCTTCCATTTTTTTTTTCTTTTCTTTTTTTTTTTTTTTTTTTGTCCAGAAGGCATCTAGTTTTCTTCCTTTAAATCCAAACTTCTTATTATAAAAATGTACAGCCATCTATTATGTCATCTGTTATATTTTGGCCTGTAATCTTACACAATGAAATAGATGTTTGATTATATATTATATATACTCATATATATTATTTTTGCCCTTTATAGGACATTGAAGTTTATAGTCTGGGCTGGATATAGCAGGACAGTCCTGGTTCTCTATTTTTTAGAAGATCACTGGGGAAATGTTCCAAATTGAAAATCATTGCAAGATTCTGATAACCAATTGTTAAACCTATTTACCATAATTGTACAAATTACAGATTGTAATTCTCTGTGTGGATTGCATAGTGATTAGTGGATTTACATGTTTACATAGTGAACAGAGACTGCAGAGCCTATATTTTAATTTTATCCCAGCATGGAGACATGTTCTGATATAATTTTTTATTATTCTTTCTTCTTGGGTGTTTTTAAAAGTTTTTACCTTATATATATTTTCATCCTTATATTTGCTAAATAGGTTCTGCAATCCATCAAAATGGAGCTGCACTGCTCTGAGAGACTTTACCACCTTTAGGTTTTCATACCCTCCCAGGATGGGCTATCCATCCAATTGAAAGGAAACCTTCTGAAGAAAATGGTCCTTCTCCATCCCTCATAAATCCATCTTAATCTTAGAAGTAGAAATTAAGATTAGAAACGTTAGCATTTATCTGAAATAAAGGAGAAGCTAGGCATGCAAATTTAAGGATTCAATTTACCTCTAAGATTTACCTCTGCACAACTTGAGGGTCATGGAGAAATAAGGTTTTGAATCAAAAAATTCCAGTCCCAACTGCCATCCTAGCATCGTTACGGGACCCCTACGCCCAGCTCTCTTCTCACAGGGACTTTCACAATAGGGGAAATAACTTGGCCTAAAATTGAAAAAAATACATAGTTATAAACCATATGGAGAATATATGCGCTCCTTTGTATCCAAAAAGAAAGTACAAAAACGTGCCCTTTCAATTAAAAAAAAAAAACACAAAAAACCATATTGACACAGCTGCCCTGAGATTTCTATGAGCCAAGCATTCTCCAGGGAAGGGTGAGTTATCATGTATTTGTGAGGAGCCCTGAGTTAATTTGCATGAGGTTTTTAAGTTTTTCCTGTACTTTAAAAATAGCCACAGGTGTCCTCTTTGCCTCCATGTGGGACAGGGGGAGGGACACCAAACTGAGGAACAGGTCTCCACTTCCACATCCATTTTCTGCTGTATAAGCTGCCAGGTAACTGGTAAGACTGAGATGGAACATTCCATCAGGATAATTTGAGGGACATTGAATACAGGGCCTTCTTCCAACAGGTGGGCAGGATGCAGAGAAATCCCAGGCGATAGAATAACACCCCAAAGTTGTTAAGAGCAGAACCTAACCTGTACCCTGTAGCCCATGTGGACGGCATCACCCACACCCCTGTGCGCTGATCCTTCTGGGGGTTCGGCCAGGGAAAGTGGAAGTCGGGAGGAGGGAGACGTGAGAGTGCACCCTCCCTCTGCTGGGCACAGTTCGGGCAGCAGCTGAGGTCTCCTGTCAAAGACCTCAGCTCCCATTAGGCGGCTGTCGTCCTTGGCTGCAGCCCTTGCCGGCTGCCATAGTGACATGGTTCATGCCTCTGGTCCCTACGTCAGAGGGGCACAGCCTCCCTGTGTTAGTGGTTTCCTGGTGTGTCAACAGCCCCTGTGGCCACCATACCTTCCCACATTTCTGTAAATGGGCCCTTCCCTAATCTTCCTTCACTTAAAAACATTGGGACTGCCCTCTGTTTTCCTCCGGGTCTCAGGGGACACAGATGCACAAAAGCATGTGTAAGCCTCCGCGTGCCCAGGGTGGGTGGGGTCTGTGTACAGTGGCGGAATCTTATGGAAACGCTCAGTCCTCTCCACATACCACCTTTCTCCGACAAGGGAACTCACAGTAGCAACAGTTCCCCACTCCTGCAAGTGTTCAGAACCGGCGGGCGTGTCACTCAAGATCCATGGGCATCGCTTGGTGGATGAGGAGGTTAAACTACATATACAGCCTCTGTACCTACTTCAGTCTTTAGATTCCTATTCTCATATTGTTGGCAGTTTTTTCTAACACCAAGGCAGTGGGTGTCTTATTTTGGGTTTCCCCAAAAATAGAAACAACCTACGGATTTGGATATTGTGAGAGAATAGGAAAGTGACACATGGAGAGAGGAGAGCCAGTAAAGTACGCGTGCGTGAATGGGCTCCCTCTCTCTGCTGAGGCGTTTGTTGGTCTGTCTTGCACACAGCTGTGCTCATCACCCCTGAGTGCCCAGTTATCTCTGTTCCTCCCAGACCACCAAGTGCAACCTTTTTTTCTCCACGCAGACACCCTTAAACACTTGCTCATTGAACTGCACTTGATTAGTTCCTTGCCAATTCCAGGAAGTAAATCTGGGTTGGAAGTTGAGCTCCAGGTAGCTGCACCAAAGAGGAGGAGTTTGTATCTTTACACATATCAATGAACCATACAGTGCATTTATTCTTGAGGAAGGACAACTTGCCTACAACAAACACTGGGGAAGAGGAGCAAGAGACAGTCTCTGGCTAAGCAAAGTGAGTATACTTAATCTCATGCTTTCTGTGGGAAGCTCAGGGTTGCAGATAAGGTTTTTCTGCCAAATGAGACTTATGATGCCCCTGGGAGTGGGGTGGAGCCCATGGCAGAGTTGATTGTACTAGCTTTTGGGAGTCTGCTCCAACAAAAAGGAGAGGGGAAGAACTGCTGGTTGGACATGTTGCTTGCAGCCTTGTGACACCTCAACCTGGAACCCCAGCCGTGCCATGCCATACTTCTGACCTACGCCAGGATGAGCTCGTGAACGAATTGTCTTAAGTTGCTACATTTATGATGATTTGTAATACAATTGGTTATCTTCAATGAAAGATCATGAAGATTTTGCAGCCAGAGAGCTTGTGCAAAATTTCTACTCTTAAGACCCTAAATTGGAAATACTGAAACTTCTTTATGTTTCATTTACCTTATGTGTAAAACGAGAATAGGGTTTTGCCTCCCTCATGGAGTTATTATGATAATGAGACAATATGTGTATAAAGATCTGTGAGAGCAGCTTATAAACAAACTATAGTTAAAACAACAGGAGAGGAAGTTACCACGTACTCAGCGGTAGCTGCTATAATTATAATTAATAAAGTCTTGTCACTGTTGTTTAGGACCTTAGAACCTTCTAGAGGAGACAGCCATGGGGATAAAGTGTTTCAGTAAATATGTGTTTATAAGTTTCTTGTATTCAGGAGAAAGTGCAACTAGTGTCTGAAGACTAGGGAAATACATTCTCAATCCCACCTGATACAATGCCTCAAAGGTTGCAGAGGTCTCAGATGGGAGATTCAGGTCTGCGTATTAAGCAGTCTAGAGTGTTCTTACTGCGGAGGACAAGGCCAACATAGTTAAGCACCAGAGTTGCGAACTTCTTGAGTAATTCTGAGGATTTACCGTACCATCCTGTCTTCAAATCTATTTTTGTTATGCTACCCATATGGGATTGTAGGAGTCATTACCTTTACCCAAATTTTATTAAAAAGTTGCTTCCAGGTATGATACTTTAATTCACTTCCATTTTCTCTCTAAACTTTATGCATGAAACATGAGGGTTCTGTATCCATATGCAATGTTTACTTAAGTAAGCAAAATAAATTTAACTTAATTTCTGTCACTAAAGAAAGAAAAATGAAAGAAAGGAAAGAAAATAGTACAACCAGATCAAAATTCACAATTGACCTGAATATACTGTGCATTGGCAATGGGCTTCCTTGGAGGATAATGACTCCATTGAACAAGTTTTTCTGCGACCGGGACTTCGGGGAAATCATGGCCACGGGACCCGCCTGTTTCCTTCTTCAGGCGTCGATAGAATGGACTCAGTGTTCTCCAGGAGACTCTCCGCCCAGCCCTGCGCCTCTGAAATACCCGTACACGCAGAGCGCCATGCTAAGCATGGTGAGAGATACGAGAAGGAAAAAGCCACCGCCCTTGCCCTCTGTGGTGCTGATATTCCTTGGCCCGTAGTTGTCTCACCTATATAACTGGGCAGGTGTGAGGATTCAAGGAGATGTATTTGTGAAGCACTGCGTGTGAAAGTGCCCTCTAACTGCCACGTAATATCTCTAAGGAAAACTGAATGAACAAACTCATAGGGGTTTGTGATGCTCAAACAAGCCAGTGAAAGCAAAAGTTCTCTTTCAATGTAATCATTAGTGCATGTATGAAGGATGATAGTATTGCCTTTGTTTTTCAGCAGCATGAATTCGATGACTTCAGCAGGCCCCAAGGCCAGTTCTGTGTTTGTAGCGGCACCCCCCAGCACACACGCTGCGATCCCAGGGAGCATGTCCCAGGTGCCCCTGTATCCACACAGCCAGCCCCAAGACCACCAATTTCCTGGGAGCCAACCTGGCTTACAGCTGCCTGCGAGTGCACAACCAGCCCAAACAACCTTGAAAGAGGGCAAAGTCTTAGGGGTAAGTGAGCTTTCACCGTGCAGGCTGGGACCACACACGTGACTGGAGTCAGGGGTGGGAGGAGGGTTGGAAATACAGAAACTCCAAAGCCACAAGTGGGGCGGGGGCTGACCCAGCCTTGCCAAACTCAGGTCTAGTAAGAAGCTCAGCTGTGGAGCATCACCAGGGCCTCCGTGTCGGGCCTTGTGTTTTCTTACTTAAGCTTTATATGAATGAGAAAGAAAAGCAACAAAGAAGCAGGAAACTGGAAGGTTTTACCTGTTGCCAGAATCCATGTTGATCCTCTGGCCTCAGGAAGAAAGAGGGTATAGCAGGTGAGCCGCAAGGTGCAGCCTAAAGCCAGAGTGTTCGCATGGAATCTTTGCCCAATAGCAATAAGATAAGAGCTCACGATTATTTCCTCCCTGAAAGGCTATCCCTAGCAGAACAAGGGGAGGCCTGTTTCATTGCATAGCTGAATAGTGACACTCGTGGTTTCTGATCCATGCTGCCAGGGTTCCAATTTTAGCTCCACCTCTAAAGACTGCTCGTGGAATGTCAAATCAGTACAACCTGTATGAAGGGCTATCTATGTCTGCCAAATTTTAAAATACTCCATAATTCCATTTCTGAGACTTTGTCCTCAAACATGCCTATGCTCATGAGAAAAATGACATGCATGAGGCTATTTATTGCAGCCATGGTTTGTGAGAGGAAAAGAATGGAAACAATATATCCATTACTATAATGCTGCTTAAATAATGTATTACACATACAAAGAATTAAATGTTTTAGAGCTAGAAAAATAAAGCTTGTTGTGTAATGATATAGACACAACTGCAAACTATTTCATTACTGGGAAAAGGATTAGAGGCAGTCATTGCATATAATTTGCTACCATTTGTACAAACTTAAGGAACTAATATATTTGGATTCATTGCAATGTTTGTAGTACATGCGCACACACACACACACATATACATATATAAATGTATATATACAAGGGAGGACTCAGAAAAAATGGAATTATCTTCTGGAGAGTATGTCTCTAGAAGTACAGGCTGCCCCCTTTAGTGAGTGTTCTGGGATCTCAACTCTATCACTGTACCAGCTGGCATTGTTGTGAGAGGCTGTGTTTGGCCTCAGAGAATTTTTTTTGAAGACTCCCTTAACATGTATGCCCATTTCGTGATGGGCATGTTATGAACACATCTACTTATACTGCTGAGTGTTCAGTAGATTTTGACCAAAAACAGCATGACCCCCACGCCCCACACTCCTTATTCACCTGATCTCATCTTGAGCAACGTTTTGGGTTTCTCCTGATGAAAAATATCCTCAAAGGGAAATATTTTGCCTATGTGGAAGGAGGTTTCAAAAAAAAAAGTCTAAAGCAATAAAAGGCGTGAAAATCAACGACTTCAAAAACTGTTTTGAGCAGTGGAAATAAGTGTTTCAGCATGCATGTTGCATCAAATGGAGATTACTGGGAAGGTAACTGAAGTTTAAACATATAAGGATAAATACACATATCTTTATAAAAAAAAATTTAGGTTTTTTTGTATCCCCCATTGTACGTTTTGGAAGAATATATACTGCTTGGCCAAAAAGTCTGTTTGTTTTCTTCCCTAAAATAAAAGACACCTTTGTCATTTTCACCAATAACTTTATTGATTTGGATACTTTGAGTCTGTTGGCTATCTGCCACATGGTATAGTACTGATTGCTCTCAATTTGAGTCTCAATTTGATCGCTATCAATTTCTACTTCTCTACCTTACTGTGGAGCATTGTCCAGTGAGAAATCTCCAGCACAAAACATCACAGACCACTTTTGGCATGTTTTACCAGTCACAACACATTCTCCATACATTACACAAATGTTTTTTTCCTTTCAGGTCTGATTTTACCTTAATTGATGCTTATATTCCTCCATCTTCAATATTAAAACGGCTACACAAAAATTCACAGTTTTTGATAATTTTTAAAAAATGCATGCTGATATGACAGCAGTCACAATACAATCTAAAAAAAATTGTTTCGAATGAACTTAAGTGAAACTAAGTGCTGCTAGAGCCATCTTACAGAAAAAACAAAAGAGACTTTTTGGCCAAGACATTAGTAGTTGTTTTCTAGAGCTGCCATAACAAAATACTACAATTGCATCAGCTTAGAACAATAGAAATTTACTGTCTCACAGCCTGGGGTCCAGAACGTGTAATCCATGTACCCCTGGCCATGCTCCCTCTGAAGGCTCCAAGGGAGGGGACCTGTTCCAGGCCTGCCTCGTAGCTTCTGGTAGGACCTTGGCTTGAGGCAGCGTAACTGCAACCTTGGCATTCTCCTGTGTGTACGTGTGTCTTTTCACACGGCATTCCTTTAAAAGGATAGCAGTCCTATAGGAATAGGGACCACCCTATTCCAGTACACCTCATATTACCTTATTACAACCGCAGCAACTCTTTTTCTTAATGACGTCTGTTTTGGAGGCAAAGGAGATTGGGACTTCAATACATTAATGTGATGAGGGAGAGGCAGACTTACCTCAATCTCAAACAATATTCCATAGAAATGAGAGGTGAGCGGAGAGAATGACCTACAAGGGTGTTCCTTGTAGTGTTTTTTATAATATGAAAACAAAGAAAGAAACTTTCCTGCCTTGTATCTCTGTTTCAACTTCTCCACAGAACATGCAGATAATAAAATCCAGGCAACCATTTAAAATAATATGTTTAAAGAATGCTTGATCCCATTGCGATATATTCATGATGAAACATTAAGTAAAATATGCAGAGCCATTTTGTATTATCAGTGTATATATTTGAAAAAAATAATGAAAGGTTAGACACCAAAATGTAAGTAGTAGATATTATTTTAATTTTATATTTTCCATATTATCTTTAACCAAGAAAATAAAATATTTATTAAAATTAAAAGTAATCAAAGTAAAAATAACAATAATAAAAAAATTTTAAGAGTTTACAAGGTGAGGGAAAGGGTCAGTTTCCTGCTCAGAAACAAAGATCTCAGCTTGTGGTTCTTTGACAGGCCCTCCAGATCCTGACTGGGCTGGTACACATCAGCCTCGGTGGCATCATGGGAACTATCTTGGCTGGGAAATATGCAGCTGTCTCATTTGTTGGAGGCTATCCTTTCTGGGGAGGCATCACGGTAAGTAAGTTCTCTGCAAGTGAGTTCCAGAAGCTGCCAATCCTCAGGGCCACCTTGTCAGGTTGTACTTTGCTAAAGGTGGTTTCCAGTCAAGAGAGCATGTGGGCTGTGAACGCAGCTCAGGCTTTGCTCACCAAGAACATTAGTCTGCTTGCACAGCCAGAACAAATACTGCACACTGGGTGGATCAACAGCAGACATTTATTATCTCACAGTTCCTGAGGCTTGAAGCCCAAGATCAACATTTTACCAGGGTTGTTTCTTCCTGGGCTTGTAGACGGTCATTTTACGCCCAATACCTTTACATGGTCTCTGTGTGTTTGTGTTCCAAAATCTCTTCTTATAAGAATATTAGATACATTAGATTAGGACCCATCATTATGACCTTATTTAAGCTTGATCACCTCTTTAAAGGCTGTGTCTTGAAATACAGATGCTCCTCAACCTATGATGGGATTACATCCCAAAAACCCATCCTCAATTGAAAATATCCAAAATAAAAATAGGTTAAATACTGCACTGTAGAGAATGGGTTGTTCACCCTCGTGATCACATGGCTGACGGGGAGCTGTACCTGGATGTTGCTGTCCAGCATCTCAAGAGAGTACCCAACCACATACCACTTGTCTGAGAAAAGATCAAAATTCCCAGACCAAAGTACAGTTTCAACTGGATGCATATTACTTTCTCACCATTGTAAAGTAAAAAAAAATATCATAATTCTGACCCTCATGAATCTGAAACGGATACTGGACAGCCTCCTGCCTTCTAGCACAATCAATGGTGCTCTGTTGCTCACCTCCTAGAGGCATAACTCTGGAGACAGCAGTTTGGTGAAAAGGAAAGGGGTTGTTTATTTAAAGTTTACATAGTTTTGTAAAGGTAGGCAGTTTCTGCCTCAGGGTCTCCTCCCTTAGACATACCCAAAGACAAACTTTCCTGCCACCCTCTGTCCGGTCAGGAATGCATCTGAAGTACCTTTCACATTCCTAATAACACCATGCTTTACGGGTGCTGGGCTGGGCGCTCGGCCAAATGGTCTCAGGGAACCTGCTGGTTTCAGAGACCCAGGCTCCCTGCAGCTGTCAAGGGCAGCCAGGGGAGGGGAAATAGCACAGCTTCTGCTCACGTTCAGTTTAAAAGTCCTCTCCAGAATCCCACACACACCAGAAGCCAGTAAGGATGTCCAGCTTCCAAACAAGGAAGGCAGGTATCAGCCATATTTGTCTTTGTCCCACTTCTGTTCACCACGTCTAGCAAAGGGGCAAAGTCTCTATTCATGCATGCTCTGTAATCATTCTCCTCTGAAGGCTCCTCCCCTGTCAGCCAAGGGGATTGACATTTAGTCTTCAGTTCAACCTTGGGGTGTTACCCTTGCCCCCTGCCTCCTCCCAGCCATCTGGCCTGGCCCCTCCGTTACAGAACCATCACTACAGTCACATTCTGAGGTACTGGGGGCTAGGACTTCAAAAGATGGGATTTTGAGGAGACACAGTTCAACTCATAAGACCAAGGACAGCCCAGGAAGGCACATTTACCCAGAGTGAGCAACTTCTCTAATTCACACAAACAACAATGTACTGGGAATAGCAGCCAAGTGTTGTTCGATGCAGGCCCACAGCCCAAGCTCCAGCAGAGAAACATTTCCAACACTTGCAAAGAGGGGTTGCTCAGCCACAGAGCAGTCCTTAAGAAGAGGGGACTTAAGAAGTCCCAAGTTCGGCCCAGAGTACCATTTTGGCACAATCTATGGCACGTTACATGTTTTCTTTTCTGGAAAAGCCCCCTACGTTTTTTTATCACATTCTCAAGGTGGCCTGTAACCCCTTCAAGGGTTAAGAAACACAGGTCCTTCTCTTCAATGTGTCGCCTTTTTGATTCTTTGGCAGTCCCCTTAGTGTCCTCCCTCCTCCACACACACATAGAAACACACACGCACAAAATACGCATTCACATCCAATTCTTTCACCACCCAAATATTCTTGACCCAATGCAACTTTTCTCAAAAAAAAAAAAAAAAAAAATTCAAGACTAAGCTGGACAACAGCCAAGTCACCCTGTCCCATGAGACTTAAATAAAATGGCCGGAGTAATTGGCCAACTCTTGTACACACAACATCTGTAAAAACTCATGGCTTATATTCTTGGGAGCACTTTGGTCTGATACCCTCTCTCTCATGCTGCCATTTGTGCCTCACTTGTGAGGCTGAGGTCCTCCCTTGGGTCTGCACAGACGCAGACTAGGAGCTCAGCCCCTGTTCCTTTGCTCAGCCACAGCACCTGTATCTGCATAACATACTGCTCTGGGGTTTCGGGCCGTGGAGATGATAGCACCAAACCACACATCAGTTGCTATCGAGTGTTAGATTCTCTTCTCCATTCTTAACTGCCTGGTGGCTGCCTTGGCATCTCAAATGCCTCGGTAGCCATCTCTGCTTACACATGGTGGCTCAGGTCCCATCGGTCCTCATGACATCGCTTCCTTTTTGTCTGCAGGGCATTTTTCTCCTTGTTGCCCTCTTGACTCCAGGGCTATCTTTCTGTTTCCTCAAGATCATTCATGTCCTCCCACAAACAAAGGCCTCTTTCCTTGGGTTCCTCAGGGAGATCTGCAGGGACATCAGAAGTACAGCCTTCTGTTTCCTTTCTTCCCCATGAAGGCTCTATAAACTGAAGGGTGAAAGACTGAGATTTATTACTCACTTATAGAATTGGCATTTCCTTTAGAAGTCACCATCGCCGAGAGCACGTTTTCATCGGGAACACCCATTTCCTCTGCATGGCTCAACATCTACTCTGGGTGGGGAGGGAGACTTAAGAACACAAGATCTGGAGCCAATACCTAAATTTGACTCCCTTATCTCCTAAGTGCTGGATGGTCTCGGGTACGTTATTTAAAATTTCCAAGCCTCAGTCCGGCACTCTATAAAATGATAATAGTAATACTGCTTGATGGGCCATCATGCAGGAATACAGCAAGGTTAGAAGCACTTCATTCAGGGCTCAGCAAAACTTTCATGAAACCCTAGCCGACACCGCCTCAGACCCTCAGGGACAGCAGGGCGTCCCATCAGCCACTCTGCCCAGAGGACATGAATGGGGAAATAACACAATGAACCCCACCTGCCTCTTATTGGAGTTTCAACACCATAGACATGCTACATTCTTCTGAGAAGCTAAAAGGGACTCACAAATTAGAGAAAAGCAAAGACCGATTTGGGCTTATGCTTAATAGCAGTGAAAATTTGGAGAACTTCTTCCTTCTCCCATCCAGAGGCCACATGCTTAACTGAGTCCTACTGGAAGACCAACAGAGTGTGCACTAGACGAAAGAAACACCAGGAAAGAGATAATTTTTGAGTGTCTATTGTGTATAGGATCCACCATGGGCAAGATATAAGAAATGCCTGATTCAAGGGACAAGTTATCTCATGACAATGACACTTAGGAAGACATAATAGTTTTTCCCATTTTGTAGATGAGGAAATGTTCACATAGAGAAATCAGTAACTTGCCCACAATCCTGTGAGTTTCAAGCTGGAATTTAAAACTAGGTCTGGGCCCATGTTCTAGTTACGATGGTGGTGTAGGTAAATACTGCTTGCCTCCTCACACAACCACAGCAAAAATCACAACTAAACTAGAAAACAATTATCACTGAGAAGAGTCCGAAAACTGAGTTTATGGAGGTCCTACGACCAAGGAATTAAAGAAGTCATATTCATCCAGATGTAGAGAGGGGCAGAGACCCCCATATGAGGAGAACGGAAATGCAGAGACACAGAGCACATCCATCGTCCCACATCCATGTGTGGTGGATAAAAAGCAGGAGGGATACCTTGCGAGTGAGGGTTCCCATCCACACCCATGACCACCCAGCTCAGGGCTCCAGTGACAAGAAGAAAAGTCCCCGTGACTTCTGGCTATGAAAACCAGTGCAGGTACTGGTGATGGAAAAAACTGCAGGATTCTCAGGCGTCTCTTCTTAAAAGTTCTGCAATGGACTTAGGACTTATGCAAACTCATTCACTCTGGACCCTTCAACTGTAAGACACCAGTGGCACACAGAAAGAAACTAATGATTCTGGCATCAGAAGGAGCACTGGGGGACAGCTTCTTCCCTGAAAAATTTTCCAGAGGCCAAGCAGTGGCATTGTCTGCTTTCTGAGCCCTCCCTCACACAGAGCCACAAAGCGGCAGCACTATATCTGAGACTCCATCAATCTGGTTCACACAGGTTACCCCACCTGGTGCATACCTAAGGCTCCACCCCAACCAACTTACAGGTGCACTTTTCTACAATAAGCCATGCCACTAAGACAGGGAGTCAAAGAAGCTCTACCAGATACATACAAACAAACACAGGGAGGCTGCCAAAACGAGGAGATAAAGAATTGAAATGAAATGAAAGAATAGCACAAAACTCCAGAAAAAGAACTAAACAAAATAGAGGTAAGCAATCTAGAAGATGCAGAATTTAAAACATTGGTTATTAGGATGCTTAAGGAACTCCCTTGGGACTTCAACAACAGAAAAAAAGACACAGGCAGAAATGAAGCTTACACTGAGCAAAACAAAGAAAAATTTACAGGGAACCAACAATGGAGAGGATGAACCCAAGAATCAAAATGATGATTTGGAACATAAGGAAGAAAAAGGCATTCTATCAGAACAGCAAGAAGAAAAAAGAATAAAAAAAAAACAAACCAATGATAGGCTAAGGATCCTCTGGGACAACTTCAAACAGCCAGCATTCGAATCATAGGGGGTGCCAGAAGGGAAAGAGAAAGAGCAAGAAATTGAAAACTTATTTGAAAAAATAAAGAAAGAAAAGTTCCCTAATTTGGTGAAGAAAATAGACATGCAAACCCGAGAAGCTCACAGAGTCCAGAACATGAGGAATCCAAAGAGAACCACACCAAGACACATCATAATTTAAATGCCAAAAGTTAAAGATAAAGAGAGAATCTTATAAGCAGTAAGAGAAATGCAAATAGTCACCTACAAAAGAGTTCCCATAAGACTGTCAGCTGATTTCACAAAAGAAACTTTGCAGGTTTCAGGGAACTGGCTAGAAGTACTCAAAGTGAAAAATAGCAAGGGCCTACAACCTAGATTACTTTATACACCAAAGCTATTAATTAGAATTGAAAGGCAGATAAAGTGCTTCCCAGACCAGAAAAACTGAAAGATGTTCATCATCACCAACCCATGATTATATGAAATGTTAAAGGGTCTTATTTAAGAAAAAGAAGATCAAACTATGAACACTACAATGGCAATGAATTCACTCCCATCAACAATTAAATCTGAAAAACAAACTAAGCAAACAAGCAGAACATAAACAGATTCATAGATATGGAGAACGTTTGTAGGGTTATCAGCTGGGAGAGGGAAGAGGGAGAGTAGCGGAAAAGGTGCAGGGACTAAGAAGTACAAATTGGTAGCTACAGAAGAGACAGGGGAATGTTAAGAACAGCACAGGAAAGGGAAGTAGCCAAATAACTTATATGCATGACTGATGGACATGAACTAAGGGGGTGATTGCCAGAGGAAATGTGAGAGATGCTGGGGTCAAAAGGTGAAAATTTGGGACAACTACAATAGCATAATCAATAAAGTATACTTTAAAAATTAAACTAGCTCTGCTGTATTCTGGAATATATTTATCCCACCAACATGATGCAAACCAGCTCATTCATCCATTCATTCATTTCCCCACATGAGCTGGAGGGCCCAGCAGAGGAACTTAGAGTGAGAAAACATGTGTGTGACTAGAATCACTGAAGCTTGAAGGTGGGGATCCTGAACTCTGACCTCTTTCTTAACTCCCTCTTCTGTGCCAGTTCATCATTACAGGATCCCTCTTAGTGGCATCAGAGCAGCAGCCAAACTCTCCTTGCCTGGTAAGTCACATGCTGAGACTGGCTCTCCCTGCTGTGGACCTATAGGAGGGAAGCACAGTGGAGGAAAGAAGCTAACACACATCCTTCCTCCATCCTAGCACCTCCTTATAACCAGATTGTATAGACATGAGGGTGTGGAGAGACAAAGAGAGAAACTTTCCTAAGAAGATCTTACAGGGGGAGGCACAAAGCTGCCTGGGGCTCAGGGCTCCCCTCCAGCAGAACAGGGCACTGGGACTGCCTGCAGCGCGCAGAGCCGACCTCCAGAAATTTCTACAGGGAAGCCAGGGGAGGCTCAGGCAGAGACTTCCCTAGGAATCCAGACAAGCAAGCTCTGTGAATCAATATGGACCAGGCTCTGGGGTCCCCTAGCAATGGACCAAGAAAGTACCTTTGCTTCTCTCACAATCAGCTTATCTAAGGGCAGGGGCCCCAGGATGACTTGAGCCCACACCACTGAGATACTTGAAAATCTCCCAAGGGGAGCTCAGTTCTGGGAGTGCCACCCTGCTATTACCCACTATTGTGGAGCATCAGAGCCTGTCACATCCCAACACCCTGGGGCTGAGTCCCCTGCCTATCTCCTTACAGATAATTGGGTGGAGAATTTCCAAAAGATTTTTCTTGGTGAGATTATCCCATGAGATACTTTATGAAGCTGGTTAGGTAAACACTGGGGGGAATCTCTATTTAACAGTCCCCTGGCTGAAAGATCCATAATACTTGTTAAAGTCTCTGAGATGTCAAGCACAAAAGATGGGTTTAATTTTGCTTAACTCAGATTTCTTCCAAATTAATATAGCCCCCAAACTTTTTGCACAGAACAGCTCTTGACTTGCTGTAGAACTAGGGTTCTGGGAATTCACATTAAGAAGCACTTATTGAGTCTCTGTTCATCTCACCTACAGTCGTTTTTCTCTCTCCTGCGTCTTACTCAGCTTAAGGGCGGCTTCAGTATGAACATCGTCAGTGCGATTTTTTCTGTGGCCGGAATCATCCTCTTCCTCTTAGAAATGATTATGAACCATGTGAATAAGGAACACAACTACTGGGGTGTGGTGAGTATCCCTATGGACCTAGCATTTACCAATGCTCCCCTGGGTTCCAGCTCAGCTGTGTTTAGGAAATCATTGGAAAGACACCTGACCACCATCTTCTTCAGCAAGCACTGAAGCAAACGGAGATGCTGTCAGAATCAGAATAGACTTTAAACTCTCTGACCTGTAGTTTTTTGCTGAGTTGCACTAACCCTGTGACTTTTCTTAGTCTTAGTTTCTATGTTTATAAATTAGACCTACTTTTTGACATCGTCGGAAGAATTAATGCAACTGTACACACAATGCAAAGGCACCCGCCAACCTGCACCTCTACTCGCATGGTCGCCTTCCCACCCATTGCTTTGGACAGCGGGGCTAACAAAGGTCTTCTGTGCAGGGCCAGAGGGCAAACATTTAAGTCTTTTCAGACCATCTAGCAGTTGAGTAGTGTTGCAACTACTCAAGCCTGTGTGAACGCAGACATAGGAAATGCATAAACGAATGAGCCGTCTCAGGTAGCGGACCAGTGCCATCCAACAGAAATATAACGTAAGCATGGACGTGATCTGAAGTTTTCTAGCTGCCACATTATAAAATTAAAAAAAGGAACGGTTAAACTTAATTTTATTGATACATTGACTTAACCCAACAGCTCCAAAAATCTCCTTTCAGTATGTAAGAAAATTATTAATTCAATATTTTGCATTTTGGGTGCCACGTCTTTGAAATCCAGTGTGTTTTTTGCATTTACATCACATCCTGAGTCCTCGGAGGACTCGTGGCTACCAGGTTGGAAAGTGCAACTACACATGAGTCCCATGTAAACTCAATGTCTCCCTCTGCACTACAGCCCTGTCCTCCCGCCCACTCAAGATTAACACCAGTGCTTCTCCCCTCTCACTTGCCCCCGCCTCTATTCTACTTCAATTTCCACCCTTTAATAGAGCTTTTCATAAGCATCTACACATGCTTCTGTTTCCTTCATCTTCAGAAAGAAATTATTGTTCAGTTACTTCAGCTACCACTCTGTTTCTCTGGCCCTCTCTGCAGAAGAATCCTTAAAAGAATTGTCTGCCTCGTGGTTCCAACTCTTTCCTCTCATAATCTCTCCTCGGCTGAATGTAAACACACTTTCAGCCTCATTCTCCAGTTTCTTCTTTGCTCAATGTCCTCTGTCAATCCTCCTCTTTGGAGACTTCCCGGTGGCTTCCAGGCCCAGCAGCTGGTGTTCCTCCACCCACAACGGTTGATGTCCTCTCTGTCTCCTCTCGCCCCCAGCCTCTCAGGCTCAGTCCTTGGTCTCCTGTGTCTCTCTGTACTCAGTGCTTTCGCAATCGCATCCAGTCCGGTGACTTGAAACACTTTCTCTGTGACAATGACTCCCCAAACCTGTCTCCCAAACTTCAGTCTCTTGAATTCAGATGTCCACTCACCATCTAGAAATTAGCATATCCTAATCCGATCTCCAGATTTTCTATCCCAAACTCCTCTCGGGTTTCCTTTTCCCCATCGATGGCTACTGTGCTTCCAGTCACTCAGGACAAAACCTTGGTGGATTCATCCAACCCCTCTATCTCTCCCGCACTTGCCAGCCAACTCCTCGGGCCATTCTGCCACTTTCACCTTGACAGTGTATCCAAGATCCAGCTGGAGCCACCTCCACCTGGCTTCTAATATCCGTTCTGCCAAGGATGATCTGGACAGAGAACTACCCCATCCCTGACACCCACCCCACCTCTGGCCTCCGTCCTTGCACCTGAACAAGGAGGGCTGGACTTCATCACAGCTTTGGGTATGAGGAGTCAAGGTTTGGAGCACTCCCAGGGTTCAGTGTGCACGAGTGAACGCTCACCAAACAACAAACAGCGAAGCTGCTTGACGAACCTCTCCTCCCTCATGGAAGATACCTTCTTAACTTTTTTCTATTTTTCAATTACATTTGACATATAACATTATATTATTTTAAGTTACAGCATATTGGTTAGATATTATATTATGTAAAAGGCGATCACCCCAATCGGTCCAGTATCTACATGACACCACACGTAGATATTACAATACTAATGACTACATTCCCTAGGCCGTACTTCAATATAATGTCCTGTGGTTGTTTTATAACTGTCCATCTGTACTTCTTAACACTTTCCTCTTGTACATCTTTCCTTCAAACACTCCTCCAAAAGTTTTATTTATACAAGAATTTTGCTCCTGGAAACACATTTGAGATGGACCAGCATCATTTGTTAAGACCACTCCTCCCAGGGCTTCTGTGATTCCTTGGCTAAAACATCGTTGTCCTCTGGTTCCCTTTGCGTGGACACCCTGTCCGACCCCACATCTGTAAATCTTCCGCTAAGCATGGACCTCTGTCTCTTCTCAGTGCCCTGAGGTACTTTCTGGCCCTTTTTATAGCCCTTACCATGTCTGATGTGAATTATAATTATCTACATCTGTACCTCCCTCCTTCACAAGAGTGTTCCTCTTGGGATTCTTCTTTAGCCACTCCTAGCAAGCAGAGGTTTAATCAATGTTTGCTAAATGTAGAGGGAAGAAAGGGAAAGTGCTGAGGAGGAGTCTCTCCACATGGGAGGGTCCTCTGAGCAGCTGGCTGTCACGCCCGCCATTTTAAAACTCAAAATCAGCAAACATTTGTTTGGTGCCTGCCATGTGTCATGCATATTCACTTTCATATTTACTCTCTCCTATAATTGGAATCTAAATGACTCTTGGAGTCATTTTTCCCTTGACCTTTTGGCTGAAAGTGGATTCTACACGAACTCTCCCACAGATACAGTTGGAGACCTTATTCTCCAGGGTATTCTTGCAAAAGAGTGAGGAGGGGCTTAGATGTCTCCTGGTCCTCAGGTGAAATCTACTGCTGTGGAATTAGTTCAACTTTGGTGTACTTTTACTGACTCTTTGCCAAGTCTAAAGACAGCCCAATTATTTCTCTCCACAAAATTCCGTGGTGAACCAGCCCGAAAAGTTGTTTCACTAGCCCACTTTCTCTAAAGGTGCAGAGAAATGGTGGAGAATTACATTGGAGCCCAGGCAACTACTGATGACTGAAGATTACACATCGCTGCCTCAGTCTTCATTCTCATAAGATGCCTTTGTCTGCGGGCTCCACCTTCACGTTGTGTTGCTCAGTCCTGTCTTTCTCCTCTAACCCTTTCACTTTCCTCCCAGTGACTAGTCCCTACTCCCAAATTTATATTCACTTCCTACACTGAACAGTCTCACTGTCTGACCCCAGATCCCACCCTTAGGTTTCATCCTCTGTACCTGAAACAAGCTATCAAGGTGTTTACCTCAATGATGGCTACTCTTTCCCTTACAAACACTGGTACTAAGTGTTAAAATAAATTTTTACAAACACACTTGACCCTCACCAAAACCTGGTGAGCAATTTTCTCCAAGACACTCAGACGAGGTCAGGGGACTTCCTCAAAGCCATTGGCACAGTCCACTGCAGAGCCACACTTCGAGCCAGACCTCAGATTCCCGGAGCAGCACATGTGACCTCCTCATTCATTCTGGTTCCAGGACCCTGGAATTGCTACTTCTGGGGTGCTGCTCATCTTCAGCCTCCTGGAGCTCGGCATTGCCGCCACAGGGGCCCACTTTGGCCTCCAACTGGTCTGCTCTCCAAGCAACAACGTGAGTCTGAAGGCTTCTCAGTGGGTGGAAAGATGCTCCAAAGAGGGTGGAGATAGAGGGGTCTTCAGGCTTCCCCTTCCTACCCCGCATCAGGGGAGTCCAAGGATGTCTAAAGGCCTCCATGCATGCTTGGCATCACCAGAGCACCTCCTGTGCCCATCTTTTCTAGGAGCCTGTGATCTTCCAGACCGTCTGCATAGCAAATCCAGTGGCCAACCCAGAGCCAGTAAACTCGCCATCGGCTTTATTGAATGAGGTTCCGGGCTCCCAATAAGCCAAAGGTTCTAGAAGCATTATTCCCTGAGAACAAAAGAAAACCTCCCATTTTGCTTAAAACGCTCCTAGCTGGCTGTTCTAGTGAGTTATCTTGTGCGTGGGAGAGGCAAAAGTTATGTTTCTCTTCCTCCCTTTCTATTATAAATTCTTTGTAAAAAGCTCCTTCCTACCTTGACAAACTAAGGAAAATGTATCTCCAACTGTATACACTTGGGGCTTCATTCGCTTCATCCTGGCCATTTCTGCTGTCCCTCTGTGAAACAGGAGACAGGAATTTAAAGTGGAATTTAGCAAAGAGTTCTGCCACAGGGCAGCCACATGTGAACCCCATTGTGTGCATGTAGTCATGTGCTTACCTGCGTGGGGTTAAGAGTTAGAGGAACAAATGTCCAGAAAACCCAAGCTTCATCCTTCCAGTCATTCACTCACAAATAAATATGCATCAAACATTTGATTTGTTCAAGCCTCTGTTCATGGCAGGAGAAGGGTGAACATGAGTGAACACACAAAGTGCTTGATTTCAAGGAACTCTTCACGAGGGAGGACAACACACAAGCAGTTTTCTCGAAACAATGCAGAAGGTGGGGATGTACAGAAATTTAAACAGAGATGTTGTAACATGGGTTTCTTTTGTGAAATAAATACAGTTTGGAAATTGCCAAGCACTTGGATATCTGTATGAGGCTGGTATGATTTTATTTACAAAAGTATATGGACTAATTCAAAGAGAAATTACTAAATCTATGATTTCAAGATTTGCACACATTAATTTCAATATTGTTATCCATGATGGCCAATTGTCTTCCTAATTGTTACATGACAACAGACTATAACAATAATCTCAAATTTCCAGGTGCAATCTGATTTTCCTTTACCGCAGAAGCTTGGCAATAAATTTTTTTAGTGGGGTTACTAAACACAGAATATGATTGTATACTTATACATATTTTTAGGCTCTCAGTTTACCTAAGCAGTTTCCTCTAAATGGCTTGCTTTTCAGAGTTCCATCTCCTTCAGCACCTGCTTCTTCTCTGACCAGGAGCCATCAGCTGGTCAGAAATGGCTGAGATTTCAAGGCCCCAGTGAGTTTTCTAGAATGGAACAGGGCTTAAGAAGTCACAGACAAGAGAAATGGAGGCTGGAGCGTGTAATACTCTGGTTTCACAACAGCCCTCCCTCTACCTGTCTTTTCAACTGAGACATTTGTTCATTGGGGTCCTCAAGAGGGGCTGGCCTGTTTCGACCATTCTCCAAGGGTGAGGTGGGCAGAATGAGTCTGGTTCTCTCTTCCTTTTCTTCTGTAGCATTGCCTCTCACTGCCCCATCTGATTCCATCCCTCATCGGCAGATCTCCAATCCTCCACCTTATCCTACACTCTGTTCTCAGAGCTTCCCTCCTGACTTGTCTGACCTGTGAGTTAACACACATGCTCCAGGTGTGTCTCACCTCCTACACCGTGGATCATATTAGAGAAAGCAACTCGGAACACACTTTAACCTTCTCAATAGAGGTGACACCAGCCACCTGCCATGCTGAAATCAGCAATGAATAAAGCCCCTTGTTTATCCTACTGCCTCCATTATTTATTCTGGGTGCCAGGCCCCTCATCCCAGAGGGCCCCTTCACCAACCTGGGGTGACAGACCACTGCCTCCCGTAGGAATGACTCGTGTGCTTGCTCTGCACTTCTCCACAAGCCATCCGTCTGCACACTCCCGTCCATTCACTCCCATCCTCTCCAGACGACGACACATAAAAACTGGAAGAGACCTGGGAGATCTGCGGAGAGATGGAAACACACAGGTGGAGAGGGAAGAAATTTTCCCAAGGTTATCAGCCCAGCTGGGAGCATAATAAGATCAGAACCAGAACTCCAGATGGCCAGTCCAGGGTTCCTTGCAGAAGCAGAGATGTATATGGGGAAAAGAAGGTAATTTAGGTCAGATGAGAGTGTCTCCTCCACCTTAGCCATCAACACGCCTTTCTCCCACTCCCGCACTCCTTATACCAGTAACAGTATTCCTGTCACCAAAGCCGCCAACCCACCTCATGCTGCCTATGAGGGTGTTCCTTCTTGTACACGAGTGTGTTTCCACTCACCCTGAAAAGGTATGTTGCAGCGTGACCTCCCAAAAGTCAGGTTTGCGTACACAATGCACTAGTAAGCCACAAAATTGAGACACTGGAGCTTGAAGGGAGAGAAAAGCTTATTCAATTTGGCCCAGATAAGAGGACAGGAGAGCAAGAGGTTTCAAATCATTCTTTCTCAATAAGCAGCGTTTTCCAGTTCCATCCATGCTGAGTGAAATACGCCAGGTGTTGAGAGACAACTATCATATGATCTCATCTGTAAGTGGAACGTATATCAACAAAACAAACTTGCAAGTAAAATAGAACCAGAGACATGGATAAAGAACCAACTGACAGTAACCAGAGGAAGGGAGGTGGGAATAACAGGGGAAAGATAGGGAAGGCTCAAGTCAAGGAGCATGTATAAAGGACCCATGGGAAGACAAGCGGTGGGGAAGGATTGAATGTGGGAGGTGGGGGGTTGGTAGAACAGGGGAGAGTAATGTGGGGGAAATGGGGACAACTGTGATTGAACAACAATACAACATTTTTTTAATGATTTAGAAAGGGAAACCAAAGCAAGGTTTTGATGCAGCTGGGAAACATAGGAAGGGAAAGTTTCAGGGAACTGTGAGACGCGGCTGTGTTTCTTCAGTGATAGATTACGCTTTCGGATCAGACCCCTGGTGGCCCTCAATGCATCTCCTCCTGCTTGATAGAGAGACAGTACGTCAGCAACACAAAACGCTACTATGAGAATGAGGGGTACAGGGTTGAAGAACTAAGATTCTGAAAAATATCTCATAATTGTGTACCAGTGACCTCATCTTTAAAGCAAAATGCGGGAAGTAGACATCTTGTGACCATCATCATTGTTGCGTGCTTAACTAGATATATTTCTCTGTTAGCTCAAGAAAAGTATACTTTCAAACATTTCTCCTGGAACTCACCTTACAGTCAGGCCTTCAGAACATGATCAACATACTTTACAATCTGGGACTATCAGCTCTGTGACAGACAAAGCAATTCGAACATAGTTAAAGCCTATACTTCTATCCTAATTCAGAATTAAATTGCTGAAGTCTAGCTGCCAAAAATACTGGGGACATTGAAATCACAATGGTCCTGGCTATAGGCACACCCCAGCAATTCTTCAAAAAGGAAGGTACCAACCTCAGGGTGATTTCTGGGAAATTTATGAACATAGTATTGTTTGTCACAGGGAGTGGAGGAGGTGGTGAGTCACTAAAGACATTTAGGGAATAGAGCCAAGATGCTAGGCTTTCTGAAATTTCAGGACAATCTGAAACAGAGATCGATTGTCTCTCATGACTTTGGAATGTCCCATCCAACTTTCACAAAGAAGATGACACTATTCATCATTATTTGAGCCTAGAAGTTCGTGATAATTTTCAAGGCCTATCATGTATCAAGGTTTCTGGCAATGTAGCTGCCACATGCGTAGCTTTACGTGGGACTTCAAGTCCCAAGAGGGATTCGCCATGTAAGATAATATGAAAAAAAGGCAAAGCCACTTGTGCTTGAGTCAGCGCTCCAGCACAGCCCTCTCAGTCTACGTTTGTCGTTACCTCATGCAAACAGCTCACAGAGGAGAAACAGGACCCCTCTGACATAAAATCCGTTATGAAATTGGAATACACATGTGAGGTAGAGGGAAGGAACACATTTAATTTCATTTAAGTTTAAAAAACAATAGTGATGCTTTTTAAATACTTCATGTTATTGCCATCTGCAATGGCTAATCATACGTGTCAACCGGAGTGGGCCACAGGGTGCCCAGACAGCTGGCGAAACACTGTCGCTGGGTGTGTCCTTAAGGATGTTTCCAGGAGAGATTACCCTGTGAGTTGGTGAAATGGGTAGAACAGATGGCCCTTCCCAATGTGTGTGAAACTCACCCAAATAGGCAGAGGAAGGTTGAACTGGATTTCTGTCTCACTGCTTGAGCTGGAACATTGTTACTTCTGCCCTCTGCCCTCCTGCTTCTCAATTGTTTGAACCTACGTTGGTATCTACTCCATCAGTTCTCTGGCTTTAAGGTTTCAAATAATACTGCCAGCTTTCCTATGTCCCGAGTTCCAGCTTGCAGACAGCTGATCAAGGAAGTCCTTAACCTCCACAGTCAGGTGAACCAAGACCTTCTAATCTCCTCCCCCCCACCTTCTCTCTCTCTCTCTCTCTCTCTCTCCCCCCCCCATCTCTGTCTTCCTGGACTTGCGTGTTTTTCTCCCTTCACCAGACTAGGGAAGTTTTAGTCATTTTTCTTCAAATAGGTTCTCATACCTTGCTCCTTCTCTTCTCCTTCTAGCAACCATATGATACAGAGGTCATTATGCATCATGTTGTTCCAAAGGTATCTCATTTATTAAAATATTTTTTCTTTTTTAAGTATATTTTATTGATTATGCTATACAGTTGTTCCATTTTTTTTCACCCTCTCTCTTCTCTTTTTTTATCTGTCCCAGGCATAAACCAGCTCTGGCCACCAACACAGGCAACAATCTAGGACTAACTAAGGACTGTTCAACTGCTTTGCCCCTGACTGATATAAGAGCAACACGACTCATCAGGTGTGTCCTCGCCCATTGCCAGGGGTTTCTTTTGTCCCCTTTATCCCTGTCTACCATGCACCCACCTCCCACTAGTATCCCCCCACCTCGGTTCATGTCCATGGGTCGTATATATAAGCTCTTTGGCTTCTCCATCTCCTATACTATTCTTAACCTCCCCCTATCATTTATGCTTCTTATTCTCTGTACCTTTCCCTATTCTCCTGCCTCCCCCTCCCTGCTGATAACTCTCGATGTGATCTCCATTTCTGTGATTCTGTTCCTGTTCCAGTTGTTTGCTTAGTTAGTTAGTTAGTTAGTTAGTTAGTTAGTTAGTTTAGGTTCAGTTGTTGGTAAT